GGATAGACTCGCTATCATACGACTAGCGCGTTACCCCGCACGAAGCACTTCCGATACAACACCGATATATAAGCCTTCGACGGAATATTCACTGGACTACTCAGGTATACCTCCCACAGTCGCAATATCTGAAGGTTTCATGGAAACCAAAGATAGCCCAGATCGTGCCTCCACTTTTAAGACAGAGCCTACGATGCAATTAACGAAACATCCTACTACCAACTCTTCGGATACAGTGTCGATCTATGAGCCTTCGATGGAATATTTATTGGACTACACAGGCATATCTCCCGCAGACCCAGACGCAATATCTGAACCGTTTGAGGATTTCACAGACAGTCCAGATCGTGCTTCCGTTTTAGAGACACAGCCTATAATAAAGATAACGGGGTACCCGGAAATAAATCCTACGTATACTCCATCTGTATATAAGCCTTGGACGGAAAATTCATTGGACTACTCAGATGTATCTCTCGCAGACTTGGACGCTGACGCAATAGCTAAACCTTTCGAGACCTTCACAAATAGTTCAGATCGTGACTTCGTTTTAGATACACAGCCTACCAGCGAGTCTTCCGAGAAACTGTCGATGTATGAGCCTTCAATGATTAATTCATTGGACTACTCTGGAAGATCTCCCGCAGACGCAGACTCGATATCTGAGATATTATTGGATTCAGCAGAAAGTCCATATCGTGAACCAATGGTGCCGTCGAAAAAATACACTGATATCATTGAAATTACAAACAGGCTATTTGTCATCGATGACTTGTTAATAGCGGACACCACACAAAGCGGATTTCTCACGACCCGTTCAAATATTTATCTCAGTACTTCTGAAGAAAAACGTACGAAACCAGTTTCTTCATTCACTACGATCGCACATCCAAAGGATGGAGAATCTGGACAACCAGATTCAGCGGACGTAGAGCCTGGACAACCACCAGAAGATGGAAAATCTGGAGAGCCATCACCAGGGTCTGAACAACCTGGGGGACAACCACCAGGGTTATTCACTTCAATCAAACCACTAGAGGATGGACAGTCTATAGAACCACTACCAGAAGATGGAATATCTGGAGAACCCCTACCAGAAGATGGACAATCTGGTGTATCTGGTGGGGCCCCACCAGAGGATGGCCAATCTGGAGGCCCACCACCAGGGTCTGGCCAATCTGGTGGACCACCACCAGGGAGTGGCAAGCCTGGAAGACAGCCACCATTAACTAAGATCGATTTTCCAGAGGATTACCAATCTGGAGAACAACCACCAGAGGAGGGACAGTCTGGAGAACCACTTCCAGGAAAAGGACAAACTGGTGGACCTGGTGGGGCACCACCAGAGGATGGACTGCCTGGGGGACAACCACCAGGGTTATTCACTTCAATCAAACAACTAGAGGATGGACAGTCTATAGAACCACTACCAGAAGATGGAATATCTGGAGAACCACTACCAGAAGATGGACAATCTGGTGTATCTGGTGGGGCACCACCAGAGGATGGCCAATCTGGAGGCCCACCACCAGGGTCTGGCCAATCTGGTGGACCACCACCAGGGAGTGGCAAGCCTGGAAGACAGCCACCATTAACTAAGATCGATTTTCCAGAGGATTACCAATCTGGAGAACAACCACCAGAGGAGGGACAGTCTGGAGAACCACTTCCAGGAAAAGGACAAACTGGTGGACCTGGTGGGGCACCACCAGAGGATGGACTGCCTGGGGGACAACCACCAGGGTTATTCACTTCAATCAAACAACTAGAGGATGGACAGTCTATAGAACCACTACCAGAAGATGGAATATCTGGAGAACCACTACCAGAAGATGGACAATCTGGTGTATCACCACCCCGTGGTGGTCTCCTACCGGTTAGACCTCCGGGTGGTGGTCCCAGACCGGTTAGACCACCTGGTGGTGGTCCCTCACCGTTCGGACCTTCTGTCGGTGGTAATTGATTCTAGCTAAAAGGTCTCCTAATGGTTAGACCTCTTGTTGGTGGTCTCCTCCCTGTCAGACCTCTTGGTGAAGGTCCTTTTCCTGTTTCTGGTGGACCTGCTGGAGCACCCCCAGAGCATGGACAGCCTGGAGGACCACCACAGGAATTATTCTCTTCGATCAAACCACCAGGGGATGGACAATCTATAGAACCACTACCAGAGGATGGACCATCTGGTTTACCTGGTGGGGCAGCACCAGAGGATGGACAGCCTGGAGGATCACCACCGGAGTCGTTGTCTACGATCGAACCACCAGAGGATGGACAATCTGGAGGGCAACCACCAGGAAATGGACAATCTGGAGGACCTGGTGGTGCAACACCAGAGGATGGACAGCCAGGAGGATCACCACCGGAGTCGTTCTCTACGATCGAACCACCAGAGGATGGACAATCTGGAGGGCAACCACCAGGAAATGGACAATCTGGTGGACCTGATGGTGCACCATCAGAGGAAGGACAATTTGTAGGACCGCCTCCAGGAAGTGGGCAACCTGGGGAACAACCACCAGGGTTATTCACCACGATCGAACCACCAGCGGATGGAAATTCTGGTGGACCGCCTCCAGGAAGTGAGCAACCTGGGGGACAACCACCAGGGTTATTCACCACGATCGAACCATCAGAGGATGGAAATTCTGGTGGACCGCCTCCAGGAAGTGGGCAACCTGGGGAACAACCACCAGGGTTATTCACCACGATCGAACGACCAGCGGATGGAAATTCGGGTGGACCGCCTCCAGGAAGTGAGCAACCTGGGGGACAACCAACAGGGTTATTCACCACGTTCGAACCACTAGAGGATGGAAATTCTGGTGGACCGCCTCCAGGGAGTGTGCAACCTGGGGGACAATCACCAGGGTTATTCACCACGATCGAACCACCAGAGGATGGAAATTCGGGTGGACCGCCTCCAGGAAGTGAGCAACCTGGGGGACAACCACCAGGGTTATTCACCACGTAGCTTGGTGGTCTCCTACCTTTTTCTGGTGGACCGCCTCCAGGAAGTGAGCAACCTGGGGGACAATCACCAGGGTTATTCACCACGATCGAACCACCAGCGGATGGAAATTCGGGTGGACCGCCTCCAGGAAGTGAGCAACCTGGGGGACAACCACCAGGGTTATTCACCACGATCGAACCACCAGAGGATGGAAATTCTGGTGGACCGCCTCCAGGAAGTGAGCAACCTGGGGGACAACCACCAGGGTTATTCACCACGATCGAACCACCAGAGGATGGAAATTCTGGTGGACCGCCTCCAGGAAGTGAGCAACCTGGGGGACAACCAACAGGGCTATTCACCACGATCGAACCACCAGTGGCTGGCCAAACAGTGGAGTTGCTCCCAGTCTCAGCCGATGCCACAGAAACAGGAATCTTTGTTTCTGATTCAATGAATTTACTCAGTACTTCTGAAGGAAAACATTCAAGGCCGGATTCTTTAGACAAATCATTAACTACGATAGTATCACCAGAGGATGGACAACCTGGATTACCTGGGGGATCCCCATCAATCGCAGTTAATCCTACGGAAAGAGGAATCCATCCGTCCGATGTATTTCAGTTACTCACTACGTCTGAAGAAAGACGTACGACAACGGATTCTTTAGAGTCATCATTCACCACCAACGAACCAACAGAGGATGGGAAAACTGGAGGACATGCACCAGGGGGCGGCCCACCAGGAGGATCACCACTGGAGAAAACAACCGCTGAAATTTCGACAATTTCGCAAATGCAAAGCACAATCAAACCACACAACAATTATGGAACAACAAATAGATATAAACTTAGACCACCACTCAGGATTTGTTATGATGTCAAATATAGACATAGTAAGTAGCTTAATAATCTCTTTGTAAACACTATATTAATGGAATCATTCCTTTTCAGAACGTACGTACATAAACAGCATTAGACTCGATTTTTGCTTAAATGATTATATAATTTCAGCGCAATGTCAAAGAAAAAACAGAAGGTTCACGGTTTCCAAACGTTGCAGTATCTTGTAAAGAAGTACGTTATACTAGTATCTATTCTTAAATGAATTTAAAGTGAAATTTTGAGTTTAAGGCCCAGTGTGCTAAATCAGTTATTATTTTTCCATGCAAACGATAAAAAATCAACATGGATTTTTCTTCGACTGAAAATGTCGCAGTTGAGTGCCATATCAACGGAAAATATACCAAGAAACCAGCCAATAAAAAACCAAAATACCGAAGCGAAAAAATAAATATATCTATCTTCTGTCGACAGAAAGAAGTAACAAGAAACAAAACTTAAATTGTTAACGGATTTCATTTTCTAAACAACACACAAAACAGTGTCACAGAGAGCACTTGGTCATACTGGGCACAGAGCGAAATGTCGCAGGAAAATTTAGATACTGGGCGTAATCATTGAAAATATGGTTTAAGGAGTTGGCATCCCATTCAAATTCTTCGTTAATGTGTAGCCATTTGTGGTAACTTGGAATATAGAAGCTATTTTTTGTTCTCTTATTGCTTAATCCTTTTTTGTATGCAATTTCATAAGGAGGAGTCCTTAATTAATCCGATAAAACTATATGCACAGTGCTGAGAGTCCAATCCCATTCCAATAAGCTGCCTCTTTTGTAGCGGACATCAAACTACACCTTGACTCATCCACTTTATGTTTTCAGGATCACATATGTCATCATCCCTCAGTCGATACCAGAAGGCAGCAACTCGCTTGGGAACTGGATGTAAAGGCGCCTCGTCCATCTTGGAATACATTTGTTCAAAAATGTCAATTGCAGCAACATGTTTTATTATAGAACTGATAAAATACTTGAACTGATAAACAATTGATAGAATTAAGTCTATTAGGTATCCCATCAACTCCAACTAACACGGCTAGACATTGATTATTGACACTTACAAGCGAATTAGATAAAAGAGATTTCATGAGAAGTGCAAAATAAGGGTCAAAAAGTGCTTTATGCAACCAAAAATGCTACAATTGGGACGCTCAAGCGAATGCTGCAAGAGAGAGTGCCCAAGAATAGGCCCAGCACTGGTCCCAATTTAGATACATGTGTATGTGTGTGCTACTTAATTTGTACATCCGTTTTAAGAGGAGCCAATCAAATGACTTTCAATCACTCTGCTGGTTTCCATCTCTTTGGAAACCTAACGACAGTACTTGGAAAGACGACTTTATTTGAGGCCACAGGCGACCGACCATTGATACTCCTGAATAGTTTGTGCAATAGAAGAAATAATATATCTGAAAAGGGTTCAAAAACATTTACCACACCATGCACTTGGACACTGCAGAGTTCTTTCGAATGGAAACAGGTGGATGGACTGGAACGTGGTTCCTGAAAGTGACAAACGATGTTCAAGTTTCAATTATGCACTCAAACGAAACATGATATAATATTATAGCATGATATAATTTTATAAATATTTCTTTGGTTTCTTTGCGCCATAATGGTATCTAGTTTAGTGGGTATCATATATCGGTGAACATTCCAATAAACCAAATATGGTATGAAAAATAAATTCAATTTAATTGCACCACACAATGCACATACTCTCTAAAAAGCATCTTACAGCAACTATATTTAAATAAATAGCATTATTAAAAATAATACAATAAATTAAACACTCTCTCGGTGAACTGATAAAGCTGCTTTTCCACCAAGGTACATATATTAAAATATACATAATATTCAATTGAAACTAAATGAGAAAGCGATTCGCGGCCTTATATACCATATTGTATTGTGTTGAAAATCAACAGTGGTGCCAAAATAATTGATATTCTATCAACGTCTTTTTATTTTGATACTAAGAAACTGTCGTTTTACCACTTTGCCTGTTGTCCAGCTTTTTTTTGTGGGTCTATTTGTCAGTTGGCGACCCGTTTGGCAGGATGACCACGAAGTAGATAGCTGTGATAAGGGGGTTTAGAGCCAATAAATTTGTTGGCACCTTGTTCCGTGTAAAAAAAGTGCAACTGTCATAATAATAACAAAAATCACTGCAGCGACCGGAACCCCTCAAAAGAAATATCCAATAATGGTGTTGTTGCCAAGATTTTAGACTACGCTGCTTACATTAGGAAAAAAGGCTTGGGAAAATAAATAGTGGGAAAAGTGCCAGCAGTCATGAAAGGCAATTAAGGCCGTTGATCCAGATCAAGAATTACCATAAAATGATACTGGGGAAAAAGCTTTCCAGCTCAGCTCTCTCTCTTCCTCTCTCTCTCTCTCTCTACATATTTCTGTTACATACACCTACATGAATACAATATACCCTTGAACTCTACGCCGAGTCTGCAAAGCCGCCTCCCCACTCTGATTATGCACATATGAATGTACATATGTATGTACATACATATCTGTTGATATGTATATGTTTGCTTAAATTAGTTCAGTATGGAAAAGTGGTATATCCAAAATACATACAGGTATGTACAATACATATGTACATACATATGTTCGAGTACTCATAGTAGACCCGGCACAAAAATAGCGCTCTTGGCGTGCTTTGAGCCACTGACCGCACAGGGTAAGCCGGCACCAGACTGCCGACTGCCGATGCATGTAATATGTATGTAATAAGATATGTGTCTGCAAACAGCACCAACAACTAGTGTTGCCCATATAAAATAAAACACGGTTCAGCGATGTGACGTAATATAGCGTAAAAAACGAGCCTGCATTCGCCAATAAAATCACCCATACAATCAATGTATGTATGTATGTACATATTTTTTTATGGATATCCCCGTACATCCGCGGATGCTGTGCTTTTTGTTTTGTGTTTGTGTGCCGCTTGCCTCTCTCCGCCCTCCACCCACCTATGGGGACAGGCGCATGCGCACGCGACCGTGACTGATTGTTGAATATCATAGCAACTGCTGAAGAGTACATGATTAAGCAGCTAGCACTGGTCATTGTGTCGCCTAGGGTGCAGGTGTAAGAACTTTTCCAGAACTAGTTGGGAAATTTCCTGCCATTTAGCCAAGCAATCAAACTTTGGCCAGCCCAGCAATTACGACATTGCTTTTAGGTGTTTCACACTTTTAAATTGTTAGTTTGGCTAATGAAAGATCTACAATATGTGAAAGCTGTGATCTCAAAGGGATAAAAATAGATTGTAGGAACTTTAGCAACTTGTCAGATGATGATATGATTAAAATGAGATGTTTTGTTAACCAGAAAAGAGAGAATTTTTAAACCCAGAATAATCAGCAATAGGACATCATTTACTATTTCATATTACTTCTTTTTGCTGCAGAACGTTTTAGTTATCTTAAGAATGATCTATTTTTGTTGTATAAAATAATCAAAACAAACTCTTCTGGACGACTGTCGATGTTTCGTGCGATTTTTCATGTCTATACATTTATTTTATTTATACAAACGCTCTTAGCTTTGCCTTCTTTCTTGTTTAGATTTTACACATACAAGAACTAATTGCTAACCATTTCTGTTATAAAATAAATAGTTGTGGCCATGACAAATTTTTGGACAAGAGTACTTTAATGGACAAAGCATTTTGGTGTACTTTTAAGGTCCATTGTTACCTTTGAGAACTCAAATGTACATATGTATGTATTCATATGTACATACATTTGTGTGTACGGTTGTGTGCATGGCTTATTCATTCTTATTAAAAGCAAACCATAACCTGTCCTAACTACGAAAGTATGCATATACATACATATGTACGTATGCATGAATGTTCATGTGATGTGAAGCAGCGCTTACCTTCGCGCTTGGAGATGCATACATACATACATATAAACCCATATAAATACCATTGGATTTACCAAAAACTAAACACAGTGGTATAATTATTTCGTGTGCATATGTATATGTACAAAAAGAAAAAAAACTTGCAAATTTAGCTCGCAAACGCTAATCTTCTCTGAAAAACAGAAAAATAACCAAAAAACCTTGCACGGTGTTGGACGCTACCGCTATCTCTTGGTTGAATGTCAGCACACATACAGTTAAACACTTAAAATACATATATGTATTTATGCATAAGTGTTGGCTAAGTATGGACCGCAAGCATACATCTTCATCTGCAAGGTATATTCGATGGAAGGTAGGTCCATCCCGACCACGAATAGTCTATTTTTTGAGCCATCTACATGTAGGTGTCGCACTCATCAAAGCATGTAAACCGCTTTCCTGGACCGTCTTACCTTCTGCTCCATATACCTTGATTAGTCGATTGCATAGGAAAACACGTCTTAAATGTGTATGTACAAATGTATGTGGTGTCTCTTCATCCCCCCCACACATACACATATACATACATTCGTACGTAATACTAATTAGTTTTGTTACAGCACGGTTGCGTGTTATGTTTTGCATTTCATTTTGTTTTGAAAGCTCCTAAAGCTGTGCTTTCGGGGAGAGACACTCATATACATACATATGTGTGTACCAGTGTGTGTGTATGTACGGGCAAGGCGGCAAAGCGAATGTACGAATGTCCATATGTAAGCCAAGACTGAGCGATTGTGTGTTTGTATGTATGTATATGCGGTTAGCACAAAATCCATCGAGAAAGAAAGAAACAACCAACCAACAACACGGGCAGAGCACAACACGGCCAAGCAGGCGTCTCGCGGCAGCGGCTCGGGCTCTGTATGTATGTATGTACATACGTATGTACGAGTATTAACTTCAAAATAAAGTTCAGTTTAAGCTGGAGCGCAGCGCAGTCGTCGTCGTTTGTTCGTAACGGTCGGGTCGGGTCCGTTCGGTTAGTTCCTATATGTACGCATGGTAAGCACGCGTTCTCTCGCAATCAGTGTATCAGCGACTCAGTCTCTCAGTTGTTTCGGATTTTGCTGTGTTGATAAAGCGTAAAGCGCTTCCTATCCGCGCCCTTAGACGTCAACGGTCAACCAGCAGTCCCGTGCCAAAAACTGGCTGTGATTTATGTATTTACCAAAAATGTGACCGAGTAATACTTATAATCCATGATTCCATCCATCCATATGACAAAACGGGCTCAGTTTTTTTTTTGTTGTTTCTGATGCATTTTGATGTATACATAAATTTGAATGTACGTGCATACATATGTATGTCTCACTGTTGTCTATGCATTACGTGCATGCATGTATGTACAAAATGCCAACTCTTACGTACTTGCTGCGACTGTGTATGTGTGTGTGCGTGTTTGAGCCGCCGCCGTCACACACTATCAAATGTACACCCATACTTACATACTTACAAAAAAAAACAAAACAAAAAAAGGTGTCATTGTTGTTGCAGCACACTTAGTGCGAAATCTGTGTGTGAAAAAAGGAAAAATCTGTGTATTATACAAATAATTGATACATACTATGTACGTTCATACATACAAGCATACATACAGAGATGGATGTACAAGCCACCACCACTCTCAAAACTAGAAGTTGAGTTGAATGTTGTATAAAACGCGAAATGGCACAGTGAAACAGAAACCGGAATCAAAGTGGGGAGGGGAGACATTGTTAAAGAGCCTCATCGTCTTCGTGGTTGTTGTCTCTCCTATCCTCTTTTCCATTGGTGCATGCGGATATGCCTGTCTGCACTTGCTACTCCTTCGGCGCCTCCTCCCACGCTCTACATGCATAAACTTTTGGTCACATAAATCTCACTGTACTGTACCACTACATATCTACGTGCCCGCGGTAGTGTACCTATCTACCAAAAATTTACGGTACCACCAATTTATCGGTAATAATTACCGTCCAACCGTCATGTGCATCAGAGGGGCACGTACATATGTACCGTATGTATCAAATCTTTCTCTTTCTGTCTCTCTCTGTGTACACTCCTAAAACAAAAACAAAAACAACAACTGCAAAACCCAAACGGGACGTGCACAATCGCTTAAGGAATGGGGAATGGAAATCAAAATGGTTATGTCAGTTCTTCTTCGTATTTTGATTCCTCGCTACTTCTCCTTTCTCATATGTATGCATCTATGCGCATACATTTGTACATACATATATAATCTACAAGTACTCTCTGTGGCAGTAGCATGCGCAAGCATTGTACCCAGGCCTTTACATGTTGCACATATTCTGAATAATCGAATAGAAGTCCCACACTCGTGCACTCGTAATTTATTCGTCTGACAGGCATAGGGATTGGGGGCTTAAGAGGGAAAGGCTTTAGGGTATAGCTAGCTCCTCTGTATAACAAATGAAAGATTTCCAGGGTAACTCCGTTTCTTTTTTTATACTATTAAATTAATGATATTCAGACATGACTTTGCTTAGTCATTGTTTATAAGACCCCCCCACAGAGTGCTGCTGTTTCTGTTCTGTTGCATCACCACAGACAGAGAGAGAATAAATATATTTACTTATGTACACACATACATATGCATATTCGAGAGCGTCACTCAATGGGAATCACCTTCGTTGTGGAAACTGATAACAAACAAACAAAAAAAAAACAAAAAAACGAAAGAACAAAAAATTGCAACTGAAACGTTTTATCATCACTCCCGGGGGTCATGAATCAGCAGAGATGGGCGCCTCCCACTCAGACAGACGCCCACGTTGCACGTTTCTTACTCTTTTTAAAGCAACAAAAAATAATAAATGGATTAAGAGTAAGGCTCACTCCTGCGTTTATTTATATTCCATCTTTAGATACACCAGATACCAGAGCCCACAAATAGTAGATACATGAGTACGGACACAAGAAAGGAACTCGGACACGGACGACACGCTGCAAAAGGACACTTCAGGAGAATAAAACTACCCTAATAAAAACTAAACAAAGAATACCCCCTCCGCTCCGCTCCGCTCCTTCAGCTGGAACAATAGTTGTATAATGCTTGATATAGGAGGCAGCACAACAACAGGAAACATCCTCCCAATCATAAAGGAGCAGGGCAGAAGACAGAGTCCTGCCAGAGAGCCCGCATATCGAAAGCACTGCAAACAAACGCTACCGAAAGCAACAGCAACAGCAAAGACTAGAAGCAGCAGTAGTGACAGTAGCAACAGCAGCAGAGCTCCTTCTCCTACGCATCCTCCACCAGCAGCAGCATATGCAAAACTCAATAGAGTCTATTTATGTACATTAAATCGAATGGCACAGAGCTGTATATATTTTTTATTAGTTTTAGTAGTCCTAAGCCGAAACACTAGTAGTGCTCATCGATATAGCGAAAGCGTAAGCGTAAACGAAACTCAACAACAGCAACAAATTAATGCCGCACGAAGAATACTCAATAGCAGCAGCAGCAGCAGCAGCAGCGAGAACGAGAGCAATGCGGCGGCTGTTAATTTGTCCACTCAAACCCAAACCACTTACCACAAGGCCAACGCCGCGAGGTTCAACACTCACCCTGACTTTGACTCTGTCTCGGACCTAGCAGAGGAGTTGCAGGTCATACGTAATACTCATTTAAATGCCAGTGAACACGAGCAGCAGCAACAGCAGCATCTCCTCAGCGAGAACGATGTTTTTGGCCCCTACAGTATTCCGGAGGAGGCAATCTACACAAATGAGTTTGCCGTGCACATTCCGGCTGGCAAACATGTGGCCGATGTCATTGCGGACAAGTATGGCTTCGTGAATCGGGGTCAGGTATGTGGACGACTCAAAGGCGCCTGCTAACAGCTATAACCCACATTTTATTATCACGCTCTCTTCCTCTCTCTCTCTCTCTCTCTCTCTCTCTCTGCAGATTGGAGCACTCGACGATTATTATGTCTTCCAGCATCATCGCGTGTCGAAGCGTTCATTGCGTTCCAGTCACAAGCATCAAAGTGATCTAAGATCGGAGAATGAGGTACTTACAAGGATATTCCCTTGCTTAAAGGCCCCAAATATTGAAACACATGTTGGACCATTTTCTTATAGGTAAAATGGCTGCAGCAGCAGCATGAGAAAGTACGACGAAAGCGCGATGGTCCCTATCAGGATCTGCCCACCTACAGTCCGTATAATGTTTTGCGTCCCTCCAGCGACTATGCATCCGACGAATCGCATCTTTCTCCATACTCCCCAGAGTCGCATCTATCCACACATTCGCCACGCTTGGAGTATCGTGATGTGAGCTCACATTCCATATTTCCGGATCCCTTGTTCAAGGAGCAGTGGTATCTGGTGAGTAAAGTATGTAAAATCCATATTCTCTCGCTTCAAAATGCATGCCATGCTTGTTGTTGTTGTTGTTGTTGTTGTTGCTACCTTTACCTTTATCCTCCCTCCGGCTATTGTCGGTACGAGTAGATTGTTCTTTAAATATATGTACATAATATTTATGCGTTCACGTTTCTCTGACCAAAACGTAGATCTATTAGAATCAGGGTTTGACTTCTGTATGCACAATGCAAGTAGCAAAAGTTTCTGGAAGCCCTTCCCCCCACTTTCTCTGAACAACTGCTGCAGCTGAAGCTTATTCCTGAAAAATATCAGCAGCAGACAGCAACAAGAAACCAAAAGCTAAACGACAGCCGCAGTTGTGACTAAAGCTTTTTCTTGTCGCCCTGTTAAGTACCCTACGTTTAAATCTGAAATAAATCTAATAATTTGCACTAAATTCACATATTTGATTTTATTTGTTGCACAAGATTAAAAATATATTTTGTAGGAGTAATAAAATAAGAAATCAGAAAAACCGAATAATGAGTAGGTTTGTTTTTGCGAACTAAAGTCACGAAATAAATAAAGAAGTGTCAACTTAAATACATCTTCAAGTATGGCCGATCAAAAATATAGTGTAATGCCATACACTTCTGTCGGCATTCACTGTTGTTATAAGGAAAACAAATAACACCGAGACTTCTGCCACTTATACGTTTCGAGTTTCTGTCTGCTGTTGCGACTGCTTTTATTTTAAGAAGATTTAAAACATTGATTAGGATAATCCCTGTTGCCATTGTTCAATTTTTCCTATGCATACGAGTATATATCCTAGAGATGTGAGATTGTTTAAACCACTAGCAACATCCACTAACGTAATTCCCGTTATATTTCTGTCTTTTGTTTCCGCTCCCTAACAGAACGGCGGTGCCAAAGATGGCCTGGATATGAATGTGGGACCTGCCTGGCAAAAGGGTTACACCGGCAAAGGTGTTGTCGTCTCCATACTAGACGATGGCATCCAAACAAATCATCCAGATCTGGCCCAGAACTATGTAAATATTCTCAAAATTATGGCATGTGAATATGTTTTAAGTACATGGCATTTGTATAATCTAGGATCCCGATGCATCATTCGATATCAATGGCAATGATTCGGATCCTACGCCGCAGGATAATGGCGACAATAAGCATGGAACACGCTGTGCCGGCGAAGTGGCTGCCGTGGCCTTTAATAATTACTGCGGCGTGGGTGTGGCCTACAATGCGAGCATTGGTGGTAAGTACATCTAGACACATATGAGATCCTTGTGGCTTATAGTGCTCTTTTGTGACGTCCCCCTCTTTAGGAGTACGCATGCTCGATGGCAAAGTCAATGATGTGGTGGAGGCCCAGGCACTGAGTTTGAATCCCTCGCACATTGATATTTACAGTGCCTCGTGGGGTCCCGAGGACGATGGCTCTACGGTGGATGGCCCCGGCCCGCTGGCCCGTCGCGCCTTCATCTATGGCGTGACCAGCGGACGGCAAGGACGTGGCTCCATATTCGTTTGGGCCTCGGGCAACGGTGGCCGCTACACTGATTCGTGCAATTGCGATGGCTACACCAATTCGATCTTCACCCTCTCCATTTCGAGTGCCACGCAGGCGGGCTTCAAACCGTGGTACTTGGAGGAATGCTCCTCAACGCTGGCCACCACCTACAGCTCTGGTACGCCTGGCCATGACAAGAGTGTGGCCACCGTCGATATGGATGGACGTTTGCGACCCGATCATATATGCACAGTGGAGCATACGGGCACTTCGGCTTCGGCCCCTCTGGCAGCTGGGATCTGTGCCCTCGCGTTGGAGGCAAATCCGGATCTCACTTGGCGGGATATGCAGTACCTGGTGGTGTATACGTCTCGACCCTCACCCCTGGAGAAGGAGGGCGGATGGACTCTGAATGGCGTGAAGCGGAAATACAGTCACAAATTTGGCTACGGACTGATGGATGCCGGTGCCATGGTCACATTGGCAGAGCAGTGGACCTCAGTCCCGCCGCAACATATATGCAAGTCGCGAGAGAATAACGAGGATCTGAGAATCGAGGGCTCCTTTGGCTTTACCCTGTCCACCCATATGGATGTGAACGGCTGTGCGGGAACGATCAATGAGGTGCGGTATCTAGAGCATGTCCAGTGTCGTATTACCCTACGCTTCTTTCCGAGAGGAAACTTACGGATTCTTTTGACATCGCCGATGGGCACAACGAGCACTTTGTTGTTTGAGCGACCTCGGGACATTGTCAAGTCGAACTTTGATGACTGGCCTTTTCTTAGCGTGCATTATTGGGGCGAAAAGGCCGAGGGACGTTGGACCCTCCAGGTGATAAATGCTGGCCGTCGAAGGGTCAACCAGCCGGGCATACTATCCAAGTGGCAGCTGATCTTCTATGGCACATCCAATCAGCCCATGCGTCTCAAGTCGGAGCTGCTGAATGGCAATCCACAGATGCGCAGCCCAATTGGGGGCGCCAATCCGTTTCTCTTTCCATCCGCCTCGAATATCGGCCAGCCGGCCAATGAGGGAGGAAACTACAATACCGACAGCTTTGCCGGATATCTCAACTATCAGAATATATTCACCAGTGCCGGATCGGATCCAGAGCCGGCCACCGCTACGCTAGATGGACAGAATGTCACGGCCGCCCAGCTGAAGGAAGCGCCAGCTGGCGATGCCAGCAAGATTGTGCTGTACTCCTGCGATGCCGAATGCGACTCCCTGGGCTGCTATGGCCGTGGACCCACACAGTGTGTGGCGTGCAGTCATTATCGATTGGACAAGTAAGCAAGCAGCAGCAGCAGTAGCAGCGAACCCTGATCGAAAGTAAATTTCATCCAATTACAATTTGTTATTTACAGCACCTGCGTGAGCCGTTGTCCGCCTAGATCTTTTCCAAACCAAGTGGGCATCTGTTGGCCCTGTCACGACTCCTGTGAGACTTGCGCTGGCGCCGGACCCGACAGCTGCCTCACCTGTGCCCCAGCCCATCTGCATGTGATCGATCTGGCTGTCTGTCTGCAAGTCTGCCCAGATGGTTATTTTGAAAGTAAGGAAAAGCCACAGATAAATCAAAAGCTAAGCAAAACAATAGAACATTTTCTAGGTTAAATTGAATTGATCAATTCATTTTGCAGGGGTCTCCCAAAAAAGCGACACTAATTGATATTTAATTCTCTGCCAGAAATCATTTAACTCAAAAGTCAAAAGTGCAATTGAGGCTGTAATTCGTTTATAATTGAATCATTCTAACAATCGAATAACCATTGAGAGAATGCTTAAGTATAGCCATCTCTTTCCTTTTCCTGCTTTAGCATGAAAATGAGTTTGGTTGTATAATCGAAATGGCTATAAATACTAATTGCCCTCTATGCACTCTTCCTGTGTGGCTTAGCAATGAAGGGAGCTCCCATTAGAGATACAAATTAACAGAAAGAATTACTTGAAAACGCTGATCTCATCCTTGTGCGTGTGTGTTCAATTTAATTTTGCCAAACAGATAGCAGAAATCGCACCTGCGCTCCTTGCGAACCAAACTGTGCCTCCTGCCAGGACCATCCAGAGTATTGCACCAGCTGTGACCATCATCTAGTGATGCATGCGAATAAATGCTACTCGGCCTGTCCCCTGGATACATACGAAACGGAAGATAACAAGTGAGTGGCGGGGCGGCAGTGCAGGCGCTCTTTTAACATAAATTTTAACCCTGCCATTTCCTATTTCCATAGATGTGCCTTTTGCCACACGACATGCGGTACATGCAATGGCCCCACGGACCAGCACTGCATCACATGTCGATCAGGTCGTTATGCCTGGCAAAACCAATGCCTTAATAGCTGTCCGGATGCATTTTATGCGGACAAGAAGCGGCTGGAGTGCATGCCCTGCCAGGAGGGCTGCAAAACCTGCACCAGCAACGGCATATGCTCCGAGTGCCTTCCAAATTGGTCGCTGAACAAGAAGGACAAATGCATTGTGGCCGGGAGTGAGGCCTGCAGTGAATGTATGTCAAATTATTTCAACCTTCCCACTCTTTCGTTTTTAATTAATATTCCTCTCGATCCTTTGCAGCCGAGTTCTTTAGTCAGATTGAGGGTCAATGCCGTCCTTGTCATGCCTCCTGCGATAGCTGTAATGGTGCTCTCGATACGAACTGCATGTCGTGCCCAGCAAATCGATTGCTAGAGCTGAGCCGATGCGTGAGCGGCTGTCAGGATGGTTTCTTCATGGAGACGGGCGTCTGTTCGCCCTGCCTGCACACCTGTAGCCAGTGCATATCGCGCACCAATTGCAGCAACTGCTCCAAGGGCCTCGAACTGCAGAATGGCGAATGCCGCACCACCTGTGCCGATGGGTAAATGTTTATCTAATGCATTCCATTTGCTAATAATCTAATATTTATTTTAACTGAAATCTGCTACAGCTACTATAGTGATCGGGGTATCTGTGCCAAGTGCTATCTCAGCTGTCACACATGCAGCGGGCCACGTCGCAACCAGTGTGTCCAGTGCCCTGCCGGCTGGCAGCTGGCAGCCGGCGAATGCCATCCAGAGTGTCCCGAGGGCTTCTACAAGTCGGATTTTGGCTGTCAGAAGTGCCATCATTATTGCAAGACATGCAATGGTATGTGGGGAAAAGTCTGTCCCCCATCAGGTTTTCATCAATTATAAATTGTTTGTTGCAGATGCCGGTCCTTTGGCCTGCTCCTCGTGCCCGCCACACTTTATGCTCGATGGAGGACTGTGCATGGAGTGCCTTAGCTCACAGTACTACGACATAACGACATCCACCTGCAAGAGTTGCCACGACTCGTGCCGCTCCTGCCTGGGACCTGGCCAGTATTCGTGCAAGAACTGCGCACCGCCGCTGCATTTGGATCAGCTGAACAGCCAGTGTGTGCCATGCTGTAAGCAGAATCAAACCAACACCAACGACACCACAATATCAGCAGCATGTTGCCATTGCGACAAGGAAACGGGTAAGAATAACCAACCAGATTACATTCTCATAATTCTAAAGCCCATTCTGTTGTCTGCAGGTGAATGCAAAGCTACCTCTACTGGCGGCAAACGGCGTACTGTCATTGGCAGTGGCAGCATGTACAAAAGTGCCGGCGATGCTGAAGCTGATGCCCAGCTTGGCGGCCGTGAGGGCAATGGCAATGAGTTCGTTGTGCGACTGGACTCTCCTTTGACGGCCATCACGGCCATTGCAGTGGCCATTTGTCTGCTGATTATCACCATATTTTCCATTATTTTTGCTGTTCTACAGGTAAGAAGAAATCTATGAATTCTTTTGAGCTTTTGTTAATGAATGTTTGTTCTTTCTGCAGCGCAACAGCAACCATGTGTCTCGGAATTCCGTAAGATACAGAAAGATAGCCAGCAAGTCCTCGGGAGGCAGTCGTCGCAATAGCAATGCCTCAGCTACAAAGACAAGCAACGAGGCCAGATTTATATTTAATGTGGGCGAGGACGATGACACCGATGAGGAGGATGATGCTGATAATACTGAGGATGATATGTTAGATGTAACGGCAGAGGTGAAGCGGATCGTTTATGACCCCAAAGGCACAAAACATGGGAACGAATTTTACATTGAGAGTACAAAAGATATTGATGCGATTGAGTTTCATTGCAAGGCAGGAGGCGGTGCCACCGCCCCAAAGAGAAGAAGTTGCAATGAATACGGGATTGGAAATGGAAATAGAAATGGAGGAAAACCTGATGATATTATATCCAAGAACACGTACAGAGATCCGGCAGCAGCAACAACTACTAGCTGTAGCAATAATATCCTTAGCTGATTGATTGATTGATTGAACACGCAATTGACAACGCGATTTTCTCCCACTCTTTCTCTCTCTCTCTCTGGACTAGTAAATTTAAAAAAAAAAAAAACAAACCTTACTTTGGAGGTAATATAGCAAAATCGAAATATTTAACATCCCGAAAAACAAAAAAAATGATAAAAATTTATATGTGATTGTGAATTGTTTTTATATATATATTTGTAAATTTAATGTTTGTATTAAATTTTTATGAAAAATGTTATGTCAAGTTGAAAAAACCAATTGTCGTGTCATTGTCCCTATTTCAGCATCTTCAGCCACCCAGCATAATTCTACTTTTTGTTTGGGATCATTCAAAGTCACGTCACCAGAAAAACCTAGACTTTCTCTTTGCCTTACCTTCGCGAATCTTGTTTGTATAGCTCGCACGCACCTAGCACCGTTTTTTTGTTAATTCGAAATAAGATCAATCGAAAAATAATTTTGGCTCTGGCTTTCAAACTGGTTTTTATTACGATTTATACTGGTCATAAAACAAGACCAAAAGTTACCCAACAAATGTTACCAGCAGTCAGTCATGGTTTTGGGATGCTTTGCATCTTCGAATAATTATTAATTGCTGCTTAAATTTGCCATACACGACAGGCCACAATGAACAGACACCAACCAGTCTTTTGCATGGCAAAGAAAAATATTGACAATGAGAGAACGATCTAAAAAGATGTTATTCAAAAATATGTTGAATTACAAATACTGTTCTGAAAATGTGGTTCGGAAAATAAATCCAGTGAGCGAGGTAATGTTTTTAAATTTAGAGATCTACTGCTCCACATAATAGGATGCATTCCAATGTTTCCTACCCCATTTCACAGAATCTACATAGGAGTCGTACCCCCCTGTATTTAATGTCCGAGTATTAGTTATTCAATAATTTAATACTACCTTCGCTTTTAGTTTGTCTGCACGTTTAAATAATAAAAGCAAAGTTCAATATTTTAGGTTGTATTTTGTAAAAAATACTTTATTTACAAAAGTGCAAAATGTAGCTTTAATGTACAAAAACGGAGATTGTTTTCTGAAACACTAACTCGTATTCGTTTATAGAGTACGGGCATTCAATTTGAATGTTGTTTTGTTGTTTGTTAATTATAATGTAACCTTTCATGTAAATCATTATAAATTCGTTAATACTTCAGTTATTTTTCTGTCTGTCGCTGTTCAATGTTTTTTGTTTGTTGTTGCTATGCTAAATGTCTGTTTTGAGGAATTATGATACTTCTAAAAGGTATCGTATCGAAAACGTACATAGTTTATACATAGGTAGTTTAGGAGAGGTATTTTACATGGATATATGTATGTATGTATATGAGCGCTCATTATATTTATGATATAGTACAGTCGCAGCACATGAGCGAATAGTATAGGCATGTGACCATCTTTTCATCCCCATCATCATTATCAATATTGGCCTTTGTTTTGTAGTCGTAAGTCTTGCCATCCAATTGATCCTTTTCGAGACTCTCAATGGCCTTTTTCGAGGCCTTTTTGCGCTTATTCTTGTGCATCAGTTCGCTGCAGTTGCGCTGCTGCACCATCTCATCGATCCACTCAAAATCAGCGGTATTCCCCTGAAAGCGGGGAAAACTGGAGATGCTCTCAATTGAATTGATATCCTCCTGTGAAGTAACACGAAAGAATGTTCATTGAGAGTAATCTGTAAGCTACTTTATGCTGCATACCTGATTGTTATTGTTATTCTTGTATTTGGCCTTTTGGGGTGAGGTTTGCTGTGAATGCGATGTTGCTGGCATTTGCTGGGGTTCCGCCTTGCGGTTTGCCTCTGGTGAGGATGTTGTTGCTATCGAAGCTGTCGTTCCTGCCGAGCTGTTAAGAGCCAATTCAGCCTCTGCTGTGGCTGCAAGATGCCCTGGCACCTTGGGCAGATCATCCGGACTCATAAAGTTGTGCTACAAACATAAAACAGATCGAAAATTACAATTAATGAGTGGCCATTCCCATCTTGAACGTTAGCTTACCAGGTTCTGCACTTCTGCTGTTGTTATAACATTGGGCGAGGTCATGGCTTTTGTGGACGGTGTCGATGGTGCCTCAGAGAGTGGACTGTGTGGCGGTGTATCTGCAGCTCCTGGCACAGCGGGCAATGTGGCAGTCTCGGAAAGTCCGACTATATCATCAATGGAATTGTGATGATCGTGTTTCACGCTTTGAACCAACGAGCAAGTGGCCACAATGCTCAGGGACGATGATGGTGTTGCAGTGAGACCCTCCGACATTGGGCTGAAAGATTACGAATACATACGATCAGAGAATCTATTATTGATGAAACAATTGCGAGTGCGTATGCCGTGTGTGCAATGATTAGAGACAATGTGTCAGGTATGGGTAGGTAAAATTGTTATTATTAGTTCAGAAATCGAAGCTGTATGGGGGGGAGGGCATGGCATGCATTTGCATTATACTTTGGATAGCTTCCTCCAAAAAAAAAACCTCCTCTTACTTACAAGTCAATCAGCTCGGTCTGTGCCTTGCTGCCTCCCAAGGACCACACCTCGCTTTTCTTTTGCGGACCCGAATACGAGACGTGCTTACTGGTGGTGCTTAGGCGGCCCTTGGGATGGTGAGATTTTCTGCCTGGTATCCACAATATGCGCATACCAGAGGATTTTTTCTTCGAAGCGTTGGACGCCATCTGAAAGTCGGTCACGAAATTCAGAAAAATGTTTTGTTTTTATTACAATTTTGAAATCTAAATCTAGCGCACTCGGACGGCAAAAATGAAAGTTGTGTGTGGCGGGAGTGGGGGGTTGAGTGGAGTTGGGGGTAGATAAAACGCATACAAATAAACACACATGAAATATGATTCAAGATATCTTTGCTTATCAGTGAATGAACCCACGAATCTGAGATCTTCTTTGGGCCTCTTTTTTTGTGGAGTTTGCATAATTTGTTGTGGTTTGAAAAACATCTTGCTAGACATTTCATGCCATGTGCGGCTCGGACTCGGTTACGGGTGGGTTTATTTGAAATATATCTCCTTACTTATGAGAGGTGCTGCTCACGCTTTTGATATGCACATACAAGTATCTGGTTTCAAAATGACTGGACTGGGGCTTGCCAATATTAGTTGGATAGAAGTTATGGCTGGACATACGATAAAATACATACAGATATGGTATTATATGTAAACAGCGTACAGTACGACGTAAGTAAATGTACATAAGCTAGGGTGGTTGGTATTATACAAAAACAAACAGTCATTTCCCAATCAGAACACGTACTTTAGCCTTGTTACGAGTTCCATTTTACATTTTCCACCAAAGTGGGTCGAAAGTGAAATTGAGATAAAACTCACAGATCTTTTTAACATTTTAACAACATTTTGGCACTTTGGGAAATTTAATATTGAGTGGTCGGCTAGCATTAGTAAGTTACTCTAATGGGAATTAAGGCCCGGACCGTATTGACCTTTAAATTATTTAAATGGCTTTTTGGTTTTTTTTTCCAAATCAAAGCCAAGATTCACGCATCACACACACACACACGCACGATGGAACACACAAAAGCTACATGCCTGTGTGTGCGTGTGCTACAAGGCAAATTGCTTTTAGAGGGGATTACAAACAAAATTAGATAAAACACACAAAACTATACTCAAATAGCATACCTTTATACCACCCAGATTTCAAACAGAATATCACTTTAGTTACAACTCAAACATGCACTAGTTTTTGTGCATGTGCCTTTCAAAATATATGAGACAGTGTCCGTGAGAGAGTGGGTCCGTGCTGCGATTTTATGGGAGATTCGGTGCCTTCGAAAAATGGCAGAGATTCGTCTTGATTACAATTTTGTCGTACTGCCGAGAATTTCTCACAATTACTGGTATTGATGGGGTGAATGAATGGAGAATATCTGTAGCACAACGTTTACATTATTCGTATTTCTTTTATGACCCGAGCGCCGATTGTGCGTGAACGAATAAACAACAAACCCGAACTCGAAAACGACACCAGTGGTGGACAATTCACGACTTACACAGTCGATAGACAATGGAGACGAGAGGAACTTTAACGATAAGTTGAAGATACTTTGAGCTCGAATTTAATGCAATTAATTAAATAGCTTAGAAGACCTAAGTCTTCAGATTATTGTTAAATTGACAGGATATATACTCATTGTCCTGGAAAATAAGATCCTTCAACCTACTTTCCCGATATCGCTTAAAATGTGTGAGTACTTTCATCGATATTTCAGCAATCGATGAGTACCCAATGTTGTACTCTTTTGCGCTTATTTTCTACAAACCTTTAAATTTATGCATCATTATCACCAATCAATCATATGCGATTGCCAATCACTGATGCTAATCAAGTAGTCCTGGTGCACGCGTTCCCATTCGGTTCCAATAGATGGTCATGTAATCGATAATTCAGCTTATCGTGTTTGTTTACGTTTATCTGCAACAAAACACACAAATATTTATGTAATTAATTGACAATCCTGCCCATCAATTTAACAACAAAAGAACATGTGAGTGGCTAGTGGTAGATGATTAAGACGGTTTCAACAAATCTCGATGTTATTTGCTATTGGTGACAAATAGTTTTCTTCTCACACGTCCCATGCATTTACATGCAACAAAAAGAGACACAAAGCATCATGCAAATGTCCGTTGCGTTTGAAATGCGCTCTCACGGGAATGAAAAGCAATGAATGCCGGAGAATGGCTTATGGGCGCTCTTTCTATATGAAACACTAAGCTCTGGGTCTCCCCAATGGATCTGGCTGGTCCCCGCCATCTGTAAGAAACATACAAACAAGTGCGCCGCTCGTACATTTCGTGTATGGGATGCATATACTTATGCACATATGTGTGTGTGTATTGATAGCAGGCATATTGCGAGAGATTGCTGCTTCTCCGAAAACTCGAAAAATTCTAAATATATAACATTTTGGCTAAGAGAGCGAGAGAGCAACAAATAGCCACCAAACAACGAGCATGTAACACACGGGACCTGGCGGCCCAGTCTCCCCGTGTTCGTGCTGCACTCTGCTATCCGTTTATCCGTTCGCTCGCGTGTGTTAGACGTAGGTACCACCAATATTTTTGTTAGTTATTTTTATTTATTTTCTTCGCATGTGCCCGGTAAAAAAATCCGTAAGATCTGCGTACGGCTGCGTATGGGTTTGGGATATTTTGATGGTAGTTTTGCTGGCTGGAATCTGGCATGGGGGCGTTAAAAGTGCGAGTACATATACTTTTTTTTTGTATACTACGTAGCCTCTCCAAGTGTACGCCGCTCGAAAATAGCCAGGAGGCACAGGCACAGGCACCATTCCCGTGTATCCGTATCCGTACATGTGCCTGATGCACACTGCCACATACGTTACGGTGCCTGTGTGTGTTCGTACGGTCTCGTATCCGACCCGGTGCGGTGCGGTTCGCCGTAGCCTCTTCTTCTAACAGCCCTCACCGATTCATTAGCGAAATTTATTTTTGGAGCTGCTGTGGCCAAACAGCGACAATTTTCAGTTTGAATTTTTGTGTTTTATGTTTTGTGTCTAAATGAACATACAATTCGACAACACTGCTACATGCCATGCCATGCCATGCCATGGCATGCCCGGCGGGCGCGTGTAGAGTGCAGTTCAAAGAGTCGTTCTGCTTGCTGTCTTCAATTGCGGGAGGAATCCGTCAACAGACTGTCCGCCTCTCTCTCTGTCTCTCTCTCATGTACTATTCTATCTGCAATCTAAAGAGGAGCTGTAAGAAAATACAATAAAGCAGCTGTTGCATGGGACAGATATAAGGGACACACATAAGCTTGTAGAAATATGACATACAAAAAAGTTTGACCCTTAGCAATTTTTGATTTTTAATCAAACATTATGTAACATATTTTGAATAATATACTGAACACAGAAATTGAAAGAAATTATCAGTCCCTCTTCGCTTTTGGCAGATTTATCATCCGTGAAGGCAGGATACAAGATCAGCCGTGATCATGGACCCGGAAGCATTTTTGGATGTGGCCAATCAGGTCATCAAGCTGAAAATGTTTCCGTTTTTCGATATTGCTCACAGTTTACTTGCCGCGCTGGCCGTGCGCGAGGACTTGGGCGCCAATGCACAGGCCTTCTCCCGTAAGCATCCATTGGCCTGTTGGCTATCGACCATGCTGGTCATCTTTGCCGGCGGCATGGTGGCCAATGGCCTGCTCGGTGAACCCATCTTGGCACCATTGAAAAATACCGGCCAACTTTTGGTGGGCACAGCCGTGTGGTAAGTATATTCCAGCAGAAAAATCAACCAAAATCGTATCTATGTATGTATGTATATTTTTGTAGGTACGTTGTGTTCTATACGCCATTCGATATTGGTTACAAGGTGGCCAAATTCCTGCCCGTTAAAATTGTGGCCAGTGCCATGAAGGAGATATATAGGGCAAAAAAGGTCTACGACGGTGTGGGACATGCGGCCAAGCTGTATCCGAACGCCTGGATAATCATGATCATCATTGGCACACTGAAGGGCAATGGCGCTGGATTTACAAAGCTGATTGAACGCCTCATTCGTGGCGCATGGACACCAACGGCCATGGAATTCATGCAGCCAAGCTTGTACGTTTGTTATTTATCAATTTGAATGATAGTGATAGTCGACAGTTGACTGTTTCCTTAAATTGTTTCTGCAGCTACACCAAAGCTTCGCTGCTGGCCTCGATCATCTTTGTGTTGGACAAAAAGACGGACTGGATCTCAGCACCGCATGCACTGGTGTACTTTGGCATTGTTATATTCTTGGTCTACTTTAAGCTCTCGTCTATTTTGCTGGGCATACATGATCCCTTCCTGCCACTGGAGAATCTGGGCTGTGCCATCTTCTTTGGCGGCATTTGGGATAGCTTGGCCAAGATCTTGGGCCGCGGCCAGGCCAAGGATGGCGACAGTAAAGATGTTAAGAAGAACAACTAAAACATTATTTTGTAGTTAGACCAAAACACGTAATCAATCATCGCTGCCAAACCAAACGCACAGACATTTTAGCATAGACCACCCCACATCCTATACATCGATCGATTTCGAGAGCCAAAGACATTTGTTTTCTTTTTTGCGTGAGGTGGAGTATCACTCTCGATGACCAGCACCCAGGGGGTGTGTGTGTGTGTGTGAGTTGCTGGCCATCGATTTGTGATTTTTTGTATGTAATGTATTACAAATTGGTAGGATTAATTATGGGACAGAACTACAGACTAACAACAGACTTACTTAGATGCCATATAATACTAATGCACACTTTATTATCAACGACTCGACGACTGACGATGCCCATGCCGCAAAACGAGGCAGAAAGGGGGTGCGCTTGAGCAACGAACGAAAAATGTGTACATAAATATATTTGCAGCAGCAGAGTGGATCAGCAGGAGAAAGTCTCCGTATTTCTTCTCGCTTCTATTTATTCTATTTTATTTATATATTTTTTTCCTTAATACATTTTAAGAGTGTTTTTTTTTAGGACCAACTTTGAACACGCATTCAAAAGCTGATTTTGAAGGCTTAATTTTTTTTTTTTGTAAGAGGTATGAATGTTTATTGGTTGCAATAAAAAAAATATGTAAACTATTTGTGTTTGTGTTTTGGTTTTCTTTTTATACCCGGTACTCGAAGAGTAAATAGCGTATATTTTATTTTTATTACAGAAGGAAACGTTTCCGACCCCATAAAGTATATATATATGCTTGATGAGCATCAATAGCCGAGTCGATTGAGCCATGTCTGTCTGTCCGTCCTGATGAGCGCCTAGTACTCAGAGACTATAAGAGCTAGAGCCACCAAATTGTGCAACCAGACTGCTGTATGCTCACATTGTTACAAGTGTATTTTGATGATAAAAGACAACTAAAAGCGCCATTCCGTAGGGAATGACCATAAACATATATCAGATAAATTTGATACAAATAAAAAATATAAAAATTGGATCCCGATTGGATCATTATTATAGTCACAATGAAGAAATTAATTAGCAGTGGGTAAACCCACCCTGTCCCGCAGCTTATATTTGTTTTTTGTAGAATTTCTAGATGACAGATGAAGAAAAAAATCTAAAATTTTACAATTAACCGCTAAGGTACACAGGTAGTACTGAGTGCCGGGTATAAAAGTTGTGACGCGTAAGAAGCGTCTAACACGTCCCTTCTCGTCGAATATATGAAGATGAATTATCTATGCGTGTTTAAAGAATTTAATTATTATTGGAAGAATTCTAAGGCTAAAAAGGCCCACTAGAGATGCTATGAGGAGAAAAACTTCACTCTATACTATATATATCTCTGATTCTTGGTTTCTTCCACTAAAGCGAGGAAGACAGAAGTCTGGACTTAAAAAATAGACCTCGCTCTCTCTGCTTCCTCTTATTGCCCCTAAATCTGTTAGTGTAATTTGTTAGTGTAATAATGTAGCTTTTAGAAAAGCTGACACACCCTGAGCAAGTGTTATACAGTGGTGTAATGCGCCTTGCAATGAACTGAAACGAAAGAAATACATGAGCAGATATTCCGACAGCAGCGATCAGAATCTCTTCACTTACCAATAAACTCGGAAACTGGATCGTTGTCACCCTCTCCGCGCATTGTACCCGTTATCTCCTCATTCTCCACCATTGGCAGAAAGAGCTGCACAAATTCTGGGGAATACGGATGCGTTATTGTCTCCAGAACTTCGGTGACAAAGTAACGGATCAGCGAGACATCTGTGTCCTCGATGGCGCAACATTGCTTCACATATCGCAGCACGGGCACCACACAGCCGCGTGTCAGCAGATTGACCATCCGATCCAAAATCATCTTTTTCATCTCAAGCTGAACGAGTATCTCAAGTTCGTCTTGCTTCGATTCGAACAGGCGTATGAGCAGGAAGAGAATTTGCTGCTGCAGTGTGGGATGCACAGCGGCCACTTCGTCCAGAACGGCCAGATGGGTGGGGCAGCTGTCGGTGGAGAGCTTAAAGAACGATGGCTCCATCACAACGTTCTCAATCCATCGTATCACGCCCACGCCAACAACTGGATACCTAAGGGACACACACACACACACAAATCATTTAATAGCTGCTCATGCATATGGCATTTGGCAGATGGTTGATACATACTTGATGCAGTTGTAAAGCGTCTGGAGTTCGGCAATTAGTTCCGAAGTACCTTGACCCACATTGCAAATCGCATGAGCCTTCTCGATAGCCTGAATTGTACTCTTCAGCTCGTCCTTGTTCAGTGTGCGTTCGGTTAGGGGTCGCTTCTTGGCCGGCTGATCTATGACGGCCGACGCATAGGCCAGCAGAAACATGTACTTGGGCTTGTGTTCGGGATTGATTTTGACGCCAGAGCGGAATAAGGCATCAACCAGTAGCTCAAGAAACTGTGGGTTACGTATGAGGTCAATTGGCGGTGGATCAGATCCCGAGTAGTTGCGAAACAGAACTGTGATGTCGGCAGGATTAAGGGTATTCCGGGTCAGCATTGATGTGAGTGCCTGACAGGCCTGTGGGTAAACCGCTGACCCATTTAGGGCCATCGTTATGGGTGTCACATTCTGATTGCTGAGCGGACACATTAAGAGAGGTGAATAAGCGGTTAATGATCGATCGGACTTACTTTTGTAAGGCATATTTAATGATTTCCTGAGAGAGTCGCTTCATATTGAAGCCGCCCTTTTGCTCCTGGCTGAGCACTTGGATCAACACCTGCGAGTAGACGTACGTGTGCTGCCCATGGCAGACCATGCGGGCGCACTCCTGTATGGCGCCATGCACATCGTCCGGGTTGTTGAGAAACTTCACAATGGAGGTCTTGAGAACGCGCGAAAACACTTCAATTTGCTGAGCAGCTGTCGATATGGAGGTGATTTCACTTTGAAATCCCGCATCCGATATCAATTTGATGGTGAAGTTCAGCATCAGGCAGTCCGGATACTCCTCGGCCAGGCGGTAGATCAGCGAACGCCACGTATAATGATCTATCATCTCGGTGAGCCAGTCTGGCGTCTCGCCCTCTTCCGTGAATATGGTGTCGGCTTTCTTTGGGTCGAACGACTTGAGAATCATCTCTTTTAAATGATTCTCGACCATGGCCTGGACATCCGTCACCTTGACGCCGGCCAGAATGAGCCACTCCGCCAGCAAGTTGGCCATTTGGGCCACCGCCTTGTAGTTCTCCGACAGCATTGAAATCACTTCCTCCGGGGAGCCGCCGGACTGGAAGTACCGCTTCAGCTGTGTGAATATCCCCGGCTCCATGATGTAGTCCGGTGTTAGGAATTTCTCCAGGCATTCTTGTATGGTCTTCTGTGGGTTGTCCTCGTGCACTTCCTACAAATTCGAAACATTTTCGTCAGCAAAATGTATATCCATATTGTTATTGCCTCTACAGCCACAGCCACTGCCACTGCCACTGCCACCTCCACTTCCAGGCGGCATCAACGCTTCTGACAAAGCAATTGGAGGAGTCTTTCCTTACTTCGGAGTTGGACTGGGCTTTGGCACGGCCTTGCCAGCCAGAGTCCTCATATTCCACTTCCATTTTCCGGAAAATCTAATGCACATTAACAAATATTCACTTTTTACTTATTTTGTTTAGCAAATGTTTTTTTTTTTTGGTGTGACCTTATATTAAATATATATATATTATTTTTTAATTTAATTGCTACAGCGAATTTGGTTGGTCGCAGACGATGAGACCGCATTGACCAGATACAAATGTTACTAAAAATTTTGAACTCAAAAAAGAGTTGTTTGCCGAACGAACACTAAAAATATATGTATATTAAATATAGTGATGTGCATTTTTCGTTATCTCAATATATCGATATATTTATATTTGCACCTTTCTACAGCGGGACAACATTTTTTCCTTGTTAAAAGGAATATCACATATCGTCATAGCTGTAAGAAAAAAGAAAGATTTATCGATCCAAAAAAACGCATCTCTAGGCAGGCTACGATGTGTGTAAACTAGAGTGATGCCACATTTCGAAAATTTTGATTTAACATTATAATTACTTGATTATTAATTGATTAGTATGGATTAATTTATAAGCTATGGCAAAACTGTTGTACTGTAAAGATTCCTAAAACAGCAGTCAAATGTAAATGCAGCACATTTTATTAATCTTTTAATAAACATTTCTTAGACATTTCCAACTTTCGGATTTCCTTCTTCATATAGTGCGCGCTTTTGGGTGTCGAGTGGAGGCGGTTGCCTGAGCATATCCTTAACGACCTTCATGGTGAAATCGGGCAGCAGACAGGCCACCGAACATATGATCGTATAAAGCCACAGGGGCAGGGAGCCCAGCAGCAGATTGTAGACCATGTAGAGCTCCGACCCTGTCAGCAGATTGTACAGATACGTTGTCAGCATAAAGGCGCCAATGGAGCCCACAATAATGGCAAAGTTTAGGTAGGTCAGGTAGTGGGCCACCAGCAGCAGCTTCAGGTTGCCCACAATCACAATGATGGTTATGAGCATGCAGCCAAAGGTCTGAAAGCCCGCAGTTTGTCCCACATTGTACACGACATTGTCGTCGTTGAGCACGGCATAGGCAAAGTAGAATATAATCAGACACTGGATGGCACCATTCAGTATCCACATGCTGAACCTGCTCCAAGACGTCTGCTTGTTGTGGGCCAGTCGCTTGTACAGTTCGGGATGTCTAAAAGAGAGAGGGGAATATTGATTCCAGCACTCCAATCTCTTATCGAGGGGATGTGGACTCACCTAAGCAGCGTCTCCTCGCTGTATGGCTTATCGGATATGGCCAAAATGGTAAAACTAAACGAGATGTAGACAATGTCAAAGAGCCAAAGGAACAGCGAGTTGTAGACATTTGTGGCCGAGTACAGATCGTAGACCTGAAACAGGGCCATGCAGCCCGTGATGATGATGTTCTTGTAGCAGTAGAACAGCACCAGAAAGGCCAAGCGCTGCGAGTTGTAGTGGCCATGGACGAGGAGGAGTCGCTGCAGCATCTCGAACTTGGCTATCGCATAGTCTGCACAGCGTGCCGCCTGTTTGCCCTCACGCCCCGTGATGCCAATGCCAATGTGTGCCTCCTGTATCATGGACACATCGTTCGCGCCATCCCCAATGGCCGCTGTGATGTGGTTCTTCTTCCGCCGCTTGATCAGTGTCACAATTTCGCTCTTCTGCAGCGGACTGAGGCGACAACACAGCACGGCACGACATTTGAGGGCCACATCGGCAAACTGTTTGGGCGCGTGTGCCAGCAGCGAGGCCACTGTGACGCCATCGATCACCAGCGCTTCCTGCGAGGAGTCCTTGCCAATGGCCGCTTCAATCTCTTTGAGTCGCAGGAGCAGCTCCGTGCGTTCCGTCACATTCACCATGTAGTGTACTGTGGCGCCCGGTGGTATGTGCTGGCAGGCGAGGCCAATGTTGAAGGCCGTCTCCACCTTGTCGCCCGTGAGCACCCAGATCTTTAGGCCAGCCGTCCGCAAGGCAACCAACGTCTCGCCCACATTATCCTGCAGGGCATCCTCCAAGGCAGTGGCACCCAGCAGATCGAGTCCTAGAGTAAACGTTAAGCATAAATGGAACCGTGGGAGGTGTGTGTGTATGAGATGTACTACCAGTTTCCACAGTTTCGTAGCACTCTGCGATTAGATTTGTTCTGTCCGTCAGCTGGGTGTTTGCATGCCTGTACTGAGCCATGAAGCTGGTGTATGCCTCCGCGGTGAGGCGGCGCCTGGCCACGGCCAGCGTGCGCAAACCCTGCCGTGCATATTCCGTGATCTGTGCATCGGTGCGACTCAGCTCCGGACTCTGGTGGCAGCGCGGGAAGATGATGCTTTCGGCACCCTTGCTATACAGCCAAATGGCGCCCTGGCCATCGCGCACTATGACACTCATGCGCTTGCGTTCCGAGCTGAATTCGAGCACATGAAGACGCTCGTAGTGCAGCGCCTCGCCAGCGGGATAGCGACGGATGCGCAGCTGATTGCTGTGGCAGCCCTCGTACACCAGGCCCAAGTTGGCACAGCCCTCCAGCAGGGCCTTCTCGTCGGGACTGGAGGCCTGGTAGCGGCCCACAACATTGCCAGTGGACATTAGGCTGCTCCTCTCCGTCAAGGCTGCCTCGGACGAGACAGCCTCGCCTGCCGCCTGCAGCTCCACCGTGTGGCAAATGGTCAAAGCCTCAAAGAACTTGCTGGCCTGCGTCTGTGAACGAAGCGAAGCGTTAGGTGCGAACAGCGATCCAATCTGGGGGCCTACCTCCAGCGTGGCCAGCTCAAGCTTCTCATCCGTGGCGGGCGAGTAGAGCTGTGCGCCCTGCAGATGGTAGTCCCTGCCATCCACGTAGCATTTGAGAAAGTTCATGAGGTTCTTGGTCAGAGTGCCGGTCTTATCCGAGAACAGAATATTGACCTGTCCCAGCTCCTCGTTCAGGTTGGAGGCATTCGCCTGGCAGGGCTGATCGGTCTCCTCGTCGTAGAGCTGCAGATCGGATTGCATGAAATGGGCACCGGCTATGCGATAGAGTTCGATGTTCATGTAGGCGGATATCGGCACCATGTAGTTGAACAGCAGCAGAAAGGAGAGGAAGTCCTCGAAGATTTGCCAGAACGAATTGAAGTCCGAGGGTGGTCCCAGGTAGGGCATGGTGGCCACCACATGGGCCTCCTTGTGCCGCTCAATCATGTAGAGCCCCACCACAACGACAATCATGCCGAGAATGAGGGCCACCATGAACCTGTTGATGTACTTCTCGCTGGAGGCGGACTTGTTGCCCGTGTAGCGGCTGTTCAGCTGCAGCTTGGTGTGCATGCCCGTGTAGATGGCACAGCCCACAATCCTTGCGGTGTCCTTGACGCGTACACCGCGCAGCAGCAGATTCTCCAGCGTCAGGGGTAGCGTGTCACCCTCCAGCTCCAGTCGCCCATTGAAGCTGTACAGATCCGGCCTGGGGGCCTCGCACACAATGCAGCCCTCCATGGCGAGTGTGTAGTTGGTGGGTGCAAAGACGGTCTTCAGATTCGACTCCCCATCCAGATTGGCGGTGGTAACGAAGCATTTGTTGTCCATGCCCGACGACTGCAGGAGCACCAGATCGCAGGGTATGTCGCCATTGCTGCTGACAACCACCAGATCGCCGGGCACAACAAACTGCGACTCGATGCACTGCTCCTGGCCATTGCGAATGACGGTGACTGCAAGCATATCCCCAGATTGGTTTCACTCCCATTACATGACCTATGTTTATACGTATGCACGCTGTACCTCTGGCTGTGTTGACAATTGTGTCACTCCTTGAACGCGCCAGATCCTCCAGGCCCTCCTTCAGGGCCGTTATGACCATCACAAACAGCAAGGGAATCAACGAAACCATCGGGGAGATGGTGTCATCTGGTGTATGGAAGTACATTTAAAATGCGTTTGGGCAAAGCCCAAAATGTCCTCAAAACTTACTCACGAAGAACGAGATAATGGTGATGATCAGAAAGTAAAAGTACACGGCCCGGCGAAACTGTTCGTACAAGTTGAGGGGCAGAAATGTCAGCCAATTGTACTTGGTGGTTGTCACACGATTGAGGGCCTGCTTCCCCCCACTGAGGCCACCACCGCCGATTTGTATACGCAGGGGATCGGCCAGCTGCTTCCTGGATGCGCCCATATCTGCGCAATTATTTATCAATATCTTCTGTGTGGAGTTGTATTGAGTTTAGCTCAATTTATAATCGTTGCACTTCTGGCGCTCTCCACCTTCTGGGGCAAGCGAAAGACTGAATTTCGTTTCTGAATTAGCGACAAAATTGCCAACGAAATTTGACAGCGTCTGATAAGGACCCCAGAATGGTACGTACTTATAATGTATACACTCGAGCATGATTACTGGAACTGTAAGTGGTCTGTCCGAAGAGCGTATCCAATCCATTTGTCTTCCTTTTTTGTTATTTCCGCTGACAACAAATAGATTAGCTGCACGCCCGTGGAGTCAAGTGTTAGCCCACTACTTGTGGAGTATCTGTTCATCTTTCGATTAGATTTGACTGGATTTGACTTCATTTGCTATGGGAATCAGAGCATTTGTTCATTTACATACATTTCTTGTACGAAAGATTCGGTTTGTATTGTAAATCCTGAACAAATCTTACACGAAACTCCCCCCCACAAACGCTATCGGCCCTTGGTAGCATTTGAAAATTGATTAGAATTATCTAGCGGCTATTTAAGATTCGCATATCAAATCCGCTTGATATCTGGCCTAATCAGTGGCAGTAGCAGCGTTATACTACCACCCCGATTACCACCCGATTACCAAATAAACGAAGGTCGTCGCTGCCACTACTAATTTATATCAACTCATTTTCTTGTCCTTTGTACAAATATTTATTATACTTTTATCATTTTGGCTCTAATGAGTACACAAATACATCTGGCATTTGGTTTAATTATTTTCTATATTTGTTGTTGTTTGTTTAACAATTTGTTGTACCACCATTTTTGTATCCACCTTAAAATATGCTACGAATTGTTCATGCACTTTGGCAACAGTAATTCTTATTTGAAATACTTCAAGAAAATGCTTTTTCCTAAATACTTTTATCCTTGGGTTTTGATCTTTGGCTGAGCAATACTTAGGTCCACTTGGTATTCATTTAGATGTCTAAAGGTCTAAAGCTTGGCATATTCTTTGGTCTATAAATTGTAGTTCCAAGCTGCACAATGTTGCTGCTCTTGCTAATAAAACCACCGAATAAACACCGAAACTTTGGGCATCACACACTGCCAGACAATGGGGTAGTTGGTCCCCAAAACTAATGTGGTAATCGCACCCACTAAATCTTGGCAGTGACTAAGCGACTAAGTTGGGAAATGTTCGCATGGATGGTGACACACCTTTTCCAGTTCGAAGTCCTATGTCCGATCTGTACATTTGTATAATAATAATGAAATGATTTCAAAGCTTTGCCCGCAATCTTGCGGCATTAGGACTACATACATACATAGATATTTAGCTCTACAATTGCGGATCTCCAAGTTTCTTAAGCGCTGATTTCAAGTGCAAAAGGATCAGCGGAACACAAATCCAAACATGGAGGGAAGACTCCAAACCAATTAATGCCTGATCGATCAAAACCCAAGTTGTGAGCATGAATCACACTGGTCATATGCATGCTCGTGGTGGCATGGTTAACATGGGTGCGTATCTCTGGCCATCCATAGATAGTTGGCTTTTTCTTCCCATTTGCCTGGAAACACTGTCACAGCTGTGTGTGTGTGTGTGTGTGTGTGTGTATGGTATTAGCCAGAGAATATTGTTTAGCCATCGACACTATCAATCGGCAGTGAGTGAGTCAAGTCTCAGGCCCCACACAGTTGCTCAAATGTCAGAGTATACGATATAGTAGTAGGAGGAGTGTGTGTGGTGTGTCTGTTTGATTCAATGCTATACACGATAAGATATTGTTATCGACTTTATCTCTCTTTGGGCTAACGGCAAATCGCGCACGAACCCAAGGCAGACTGCCGGGTTAAGAGAGCCTCCAGAGAGGCGATCGTTCCCAGGGCCGTTGCCTGCCCAATATGTATGCTGGCCGAGAGCTCTCTGTGCGATTTGTTTATGAGTGCCGCCTCATATGCAACAGCTCCCTGTCCCTCCTGTGCTCGGTATTTGCACGCATTGAACAATAACAATATCTATAAGTAGGTATAAGTCGCCTGGTCTGAGTCCGGGTCTGGGTCTGGGTCTGGGTATGCGTACGCCGTATATGTACATGCAGGGCAGGCGGGCGGGCGGGCGCACATTGCTGTATATGTATATCATTGTTAGTGGGGAATCGCAATGAACGATTCTTCGACAGTTTGCCGATAGATCAGTTTGCGCGTGGAAGGCTTCCCTTTCCATCTGGAACTTGTACATCAAAAACAACACACACACACGGCCGCCACTGCATTATTTGTGAAAAATATAATTGAATATATTTGACTTGTTGCGGAATTTGCTGATTCAGTCAGGACCTCGGAGCACACTTGAAACAGCAGCAACACACACACACAATCAAAATGGTAGGTTTACCCCAGGATCGAGCCACAGAGCAAAAAATGTTCATTAACAGTCGAAATATTCATATTTTCATACGTGAAGTGGTGGCCAAAATGTGAAATGCCCACAATAATCCTTATGGATTGTGTGTCATTTTTTGTAACTCTTAATAACCGCTCCACAATCTCAAATATATTACAAACAATATCGAGAACTAGTTATATCATGCCCTAAGATTAGATTAAGTGCAGACGATCCTTGTGTGTGTGTGTGTGTGTCTCTTGAGACATTATATCTCTTCGCATCGAACCACTTTAGAGTATTTGAAAGTTCGGCAATCGGAAAACACTCCGTCTACGCGGCATTAGAAATTTGTTTTGTTCTATGACTCAAGCAAGCATAACAATTGTGAAATCCAATGTTGTAAAACTGTGGACCCCAAGTAACCCGCCTGAAATGCCAACTGATATCGAAGCAATGTTTATGGATTGCAATATGACGACTAAAGATGTAGCAGAGGCAAAGGCAGTGCCAAAAAGTGCCTCAATCATGGTGACGAAAGGCTAGAGCTGTCACATATCACTTCAATTAAAACACCAGGCAGAAGGAGTACGAGCATATGTACTCGTATTACGAAGTACCATCCAGAGCTCGTCGCTCCGGGGCTCTTCAGTGGCGGCTACACTTTTGATAGGTTTCGCTCTTCAGCTGAGGTTAGTCAGCTGAGGTGCTGGTGCTCGGGCACTTGGGTATTATTATTATAATCTTATCAGTTGTCAGTTAACGTTGTTCTTTTTTTTGTTTTTTTTTTTTGGCAGTATGTGTTTAGATATGGGCAGGGGTCTGGCGTCAAGAGAGCGCCGCTTCAAAAGAGAAACGGCAATAGCGGATTACACTCGTATCACTCGTAGTGCCGCCAAAGTTCTCTTGCACGGATGTCTGACGGAGGAGGAATTGCGCCTCTCTCGCTGGGACAATCTAACGGCTCTCGTGATCGCTTACAGAACCTACAATCGAATTCTTTGAAGGTTCCTTTTGTGTGTGTGTGTGTGTGGATTGATATTAATCGTTTCTGTGCTTTTGAGAGCCAAAGTTTTTGGAAATGGAACTTGTGTGGCAGATAAGCAAGCTGTAACCTATAAACATAACGTCCGTGCACTTTGATGACGTCTCTCTGGCCGAAACGATTGGCATTCGAGCCTGATTCGAATACGGGAAACCGGCAAATACTCTGCCACATACAAACGAGTACCTGTTCTGTACGATTTTGTGCAACTGTTAACGTAGCACCAAAAGCAGTCTCGGCATTCGGCAGATAAGATTGGTTTATCTCTGGGCACAGAGTGTGTGAGCTTCGGTTAGTCGGCGGTGGCCAATCCTTCGCTCAAATCGACAAACCCACACCGACAGAGAGAGAGAGAGAGAGAAACCTATTGGTTTATATTCCCCCCGATAAGCAATACGACCAATTCGAGTTAGACGGGAGAGATACAGAAATCGGTCAGTAGTAGTTATGCTATTGTTTCGCGTCGGTGCCGTGCCACATTGTACCCAAAAGTGTAAATATATGAGCCCAAAGGGAACGGCAGCAGCTCGAATACTCGTACCGCCGCCGCCTACTCGTGGTTAAGTCACGGACTAAAACTCAAACATGGACAAGATGTTCGAAAAAGTTCTTCGCAAAAGGGTGAGTTACGACTGCAACACAAATTCCAATGGGTCACCGATAAAGCAAGCAAAGAACAAAAACAAAAGTAACACCAGCACCGTGCCTATTTCCGGAGTATTAGATCATACCAACATACAGCCATCAATTTTGTAATTTTTTTTTTTATCGTGCGAGTGGTTGTGCGTGTGTATTTTATCTGTCCAGTAAGCTCCAAGCAGCGACAAACTTGCGATGTGCCCAAGTGTCCTTACGGAAGATATTCAGATTACAAGAAACTGGAAGCACTTGCATTGGAATGGTAATATGTACAAACATATATGTATATGTATATGTATATGTATATGTATATGTATGTATTGGAATTGTTGTTAGTTATTGTTTAACAATGCATACGAATGTTTGTTGCTTTGTAAGACTTGCATTATTTGTGGAATCTTCTTAGAATGCACGAGAACCTCAGAAGCAAACTCTTACATGTGTATGTTTGTATTTATGTCCATTCAAACACTCTTAAACACTCACCTCGAGATTCCGAAAGCAGTTCGTGGTCGTGGTCGTGTGATGCCGATGACGATGCCGATGCCGTTAGTGCCGTGCCCCGCATCCCAAATCCACGTAGGGTGGCTCGCGTGCTCTTTTTTATGAATACTAATGGCTTCCATTCGTATCTAGAAACATTTTCTACAAAACTTTGTAGGAGAGATGATTTACAATTTTATTTTACAGTGCGGGAAAAACGACATCTTTGGTATGCAACAAAATCCAAAATTTCTGTTTACTTAGCTTTTATTTTTCAAAATATAATGATTGGCGTAAATGTTTGCTTCTGGGGATCACTCACATCCAATTGGAACATAAATCGAATATATACCTAAACTCTTGGAGTACCGCGTTGAACCAGAAGGCGCATGCCGAAGCGACTTGGTTGCGCCTGTTCAAGGAGATCTCTACTAGATCGGAGATCGAACTAAAATAAGCGAACTTTATATGTCTTGTACATTCTTAGTACATTTGTACCTCCAAAAACAAAGCAATTAACGGGTTCAATAGAACCCAAGAAGAAGCACCCAAAAAAAAGGCACCCACCGATGGGAGGAAGCTCAAGCAATAAATTTTCATGTGATTTTTGTATTTGACTGGGAACGTCATCATTGATGCACTTTGAACCCACCCCATCAACTACGTGAGAGCAATTAGTGTGTGTGTGAATGTGTGTGTGTGAATGTGTCTACTACTCATACAGACACAGCAATGCGGAGTAGATCGCAAAACTTCGTCTGACGTAGCGGCGTCAATAAGTTTCGAGCGTTTTATTGGTTCCGCCAGCTGTGTGGCTGGCTGTGTGCCCCCCGAAGCTGAGAATTTTAGCTGAGTTCGGGCTGAGGCTGTGGCTGTGGCTGTGGCTGAGACGACCTGTAGCTGCTGTGAATGGAAATGGGAATGGGAATGGAAATGCAGATCTAATTCTCAGTATGAGAACGGCTTTTAAGTGGCGCACAACACACAATCACGCGGCGGGCATCTCGCGAGTGCGCGCTATGTGTTTTACTTTACCTCTCACCTACCTCTGGTTTATTTTTGTTGTGCTGAGTGGGCATGGAAATATCCATGGATACTCTGTTGATCTGAAAGGACTATAATGTGATGCTTTCGTGCACATCTGTAAAGCATTTTAATTGCGGCATTTCCATTACGTGAAATATGTACGTGAAATCTTGTGTGCCTATGGATTTGGAGTCATGTAAACACGAAAGGCAAATATGTACCACGCACAGATCCACCACACGGTACTCTGGCACATACAGATCTAAAGCTGATATTGTACATAGTCTGTATGTAAATACGAGTACGAGAGACATGTGCTACAATGGACGTGGACGTGCATCATAGAACCTTTCAATTGAAGTGTTAAAATTATCCACTTAACATCGTTTTAAGGTTATACATTTAAATGTGTGTTTTGAGAAAAAGTCAATACAAATGGAATAACAATAACAATAACAATAACAATACGAGTGTCCGTATCCGTATCCCTCCCCCCCCCTGCCCACAAACTAAACAAAAGCAAACCAACCAACAACCAGCTGTTTGTTTGGATACACAGCACCAATAACGGCAGAAACGAAATCCCGCAAATATTCCCATTACACGAAGAGAGAGAGAGAGGGAGGGAGAGAGAAATGATCTTGCACGCGAACAGCTACCAAATGCTCGTTGCTCCCGGTGTGCAAGTTAGACAATGAATTTCTTTGGCCATGAGCAATTGAGCGGATTTCGACGCATCGATCGCATTGGCTCCTATCCACAGACGCCGGCCGGTGGTGTCTGGCCGGGAGACTTCCAGGACTCTCATCATCATCATCACTATCATCTCAAGGAGACATTCCAATGGCACAGACGGAAGGTGTGTGTGTGTGTCTGTGTGTCTGTGTGTCTCTTTCCTAAACTTAAGTACATATTGCACATAGAGCCAACCGAGTGTCTATATATTTATTAACCCCATTAACCTTTACCCAAACAAATTCATATTGATAGTTGTGAAAAAAAACAAAAAAAAAAAACGTCAGTCAGGCATTGCTTTATACAAATTGCGGAGCAGCGAGCACATGTACTACCCTTCTGGAAAAAACGTATTCCTTTAGCACATACTGGGCCGTAGATAATGAAGCTGATTCACATTGGAACAAATAGAACCGCTGAGATAATACCAATTCCATGGAAATGGCATTTGTTATCGATCTGGGTTGTGATTAAGCGATCGTTTCTTTAGCCCTATATCCACCCTGTGCGGTGACAGGACTTGAGAGTTGGTAGAACTAATTATCGGCTATACAAATCTGGCATTGTGTCTCTCTCATGCTGTAACTCTCTTAGCATCAATGTCTAGTGTCATGGCACCATAATGTCGCCTCCAAAGCGACTTGTTATCGAATTAAGATTGGTATTTTTTTATCGCCTGCTTCAACACTGTTTCTGTTTCCAGGGCTCCAGAGTTAGTACAGCAAATGATTGGCTTCAAATCCAAATTGGCGGCCCCGATTTGGGCAAAAAGAAGAAGCCAACCAATCAGAATCGCATCAAATCGACTAAATATACACTGATCACATTTCTGCCACAAAATCTATTGGAACAGTTTCGACGCATCGCCAATTTCTACTTCCTGGTGATGACAATAATATCGCTTTTAATTGGTAAATATTCAGCGCACGTAATGCATTTTCATGCAAGCATTTTCCCATTCTCAATTCTCTATTCTGTTTTGTAGATAGTCCTGTGTCCCCAATGACCTCACTGCTGCCCTTGGTGTTCGTGATTGCCGTCACTGCCGCCAAGCAGGGCTATGAAGATATTCTTCGCTTTAGAACAGACAACGTTGTGAATGCCTCACCAGGTGCGTGCTTGCTGCAAGATCTGTGCTCTGTTTAGTTTGCTAAACCATAATTATTTAGTGACTATTATCAGGGATGGTGTCGAGGCTATCATTAAATCGCAGGATGTGGCTCCCGGGGACCTGGTGGTGGTGGAGAAGGACTGTGATGTGCCCTGCGACTTGGTTCTGTTGCGCACCACAGATCCGCATGGCAAGTGCTTCATAACCACCGCCAATCTGGATGGTGAGTCGAATCTAAAGACACTGATGGTGCCCCGAGAGCTGCCCACCGTCGACCTGAAGGACATGCACAAGCTGGGCATGATCGAGTGCGAGACCCCCACCACAGATCTGTACAGCTTCAATGGCAAAATCGAGCTGAAGGGCGGCGAGGGCCGTGTGCTGCCCCTGTCCGCTGAGAATGTCCTGCTGCGCGGCTCGCGCGTCAAGAACACAGAGTGTGTCATTGGCTGTGCCGTGTACACGGGCATGATCACCAAGCTGCAGCTCAACAGTCGCCTCACGCGCAACAAGAACTCCTCCAGCGAGACGTACATCAATCGCTTTCTGATTGTCATCTTGGTCACCCTGATAGCCATAGTCACGCTGCTGTATTTCCTCAAGCGGTGAGCGTGTGTCCAAATCCATATCCTTATGCTGCTGTATCTAAATTCTTGCATATTTACTTGCAGCTACAATGAGCTCTTTGTGATACCGAAGCTCACCTATCTGGGCGATGCCACAGACAGTTACAGCGTGAAGCAGTTCCTGCAGGACTATCTGTCCTTCTTGATACTGTTCAACTACCTGATTCCCATATCGCTGTATGTCACCATCGAGCTACAGCGCGTCATTGGTGGCTTCTTCATGGAGTGGGACACGGAGCTGTACGAGAACGAAACCGATCAGCAGTGTGTCGTGAACACCTCGAACCTCAACGAGGAGCTCGGCCAGATCAACATACTCTTCTCGGACAAGACGGGCACTCTGACCAAGAACGAGATGAACTTCCAGCAATGCTCGATAGCGGGTCGAAAGTTTCACTTCAAGAAGACCCGCCTGGAGGAAGAGGACACCCACGCCCTGCTGGACATAAACAAGTTCAATGCAAGTCCCAAACAAAAACTCTCTCTCCAACACATTTCGAATGGAATTTTAATTGAATTAAGTTGCATCCCCAGGCGGACCAGCGTGTATTCTTCCAAGCTTTGACCATCTGCCACACCGTCCAGGTGGCTGCTGGCTCGCTGGAGGAGGCCGATGCCAGCAGCACCACCAAGAAAGAGCCGCCAGTGGCCACAGGCAAGAAGTCGGGACCACCGGAAATGTACTCCATATCGGACATTACCGAGGAGAGCCACAATTCTAGTCAACAGAGCGAACTGAATGTCAGCCACAACATTGAGAACTCGGTCTCGGAGCATCCGAATGGAGTGAATGGTGGTGGTGGTGGTGGCGGTGGCGGTGGTGGAGCCACCATAACCTCCTCCTCCGATGTGAATCCCCTGCTGGTCAGCAACGACAGCTACAGCGTGGAGCGACGCAAGCGGCCGCAGGTGGTCAAACGCAGTCCGAACTTTGCCCGTCCCGCCAATCGGGTGCACATCGCCCCCACACCCGGCGACACACAGATCAATCAGACTGAGCTGAATGGAGGCAACTCCTCCTCGCCCTCCACCAACGGAGCTGGGGCACTGCACTCGCCCATCCATTCGCCACATATACGTCCAATTTCATTGCAATTCCAACGCTCTACCTCAGAGAGGGACCTGCCGCAGTTCGGCGAGGCCCACAACAGTGCGGCACTCGGCCATCGCCGTGCCCATTCCTACGGGGCGCCGAATGCCTATCTCTCGAACCCCATGGGCAGCAGCAGCACACCGTCCACCAGTGCAATCTTCCGCTCTCCCAGCACCCACTCGCGCGAGTCGTATGCGGCGCCCACCTTCACGCGTCAGCCGACCATCCTGGTGCGTGCCGAATCGCAGCGCAGAAAGAACGAGATACGTGATTTTATATTGTAAGTGTTCTTACTTGGGTTCCTCATTTCACATTTCACATTTCACATTTCACATTTGTTTGCGCTGCAGCACACTCGACTACCAAGCCTCGAGTCCCGATGAGAAGGCTTTGGTGGAGGCCTGTGCCAATCTGGGGCTCGTGTACACCGGCGACGATGACGAGATACTCAGCGTACGCATTGTGCCCCCGCATTTGGACTACAAGCGACCCTTCACCATGGGCAAGCCCAAGGAGGAGAAGTTCCATCGGCTGCATGTACTGGAATTCACCTCGGACCGCAAGCGGATGAGTGTGATAGTGCGCGACGCGGAGGGCAAGAAGTGGATCTATACCAAGGGAGCCGAGAGCTATGTGTTTCCGCTGTGTGCCAACAGCTCGGGGCACTTGGTGACCAAAACGGATCATCATATCAGCGATTTTGCACGCCTGGGACTGCGCACGCTGGCCATAGCACGCCGCATGATTGGCGAGGAGGAGTACAGAGATTTTCTGCAGGAGCTGGCGCAGGCCAACAGCTCACTCGAGAACCGAAAGCAGCTGAGCGAAGAGTGCTACGCGAAGATTGAGAGCAGTGAGTGGGCATTGAATCAATCCTGAACTGAGCAGAAACATCCTCCTTTTGTGCTTTACAGATCTCGATCTGCTGGGTGCCACGGCTGTGGAGGATGCCCTGCAGGACGATGTGGCCGATACGCTGGTCTCGCTGCAAGCAGCGGGCATCAAGATCTGGGTTCTGACCGGCGACAAGGTGGAGACGGCCCTGAACATAGCCCTATCCTGTGGCCACATACCGCCCGATGCCAAAAAGTACTTCATCATCGAGTGCAAGAACCGCGAGGACATGCTGCTCCACTTGAATGCGCTGGATCGTGAGATCATATTCGGCATTGGCCAGGAGTGTGCTCTGCTCATCGATGGCAAGAGCCTGGCCGTTGCCCTGTCCGAGGTGGCCAAGGAGTTCCGGGATGTGGCCGTCAAGTGCACGGCCGTGCTCTGCTGCCGCCTGAGCCCGCTGCAGAAGAGCGAGGTGGTGGCCCTGATCAAGTCATCGAATGAGAACTACAACACGGCCTCCATTGGGGATGGGGCCAACGATGTGTCCATGATACAGGAGGCACATGTGGGCATCGGCATTATGGGACGCGAGGGCAGGCAGGCGGCACGCTGTGCGGACTTTGCCTTTGCCAAGTTTTGCATGCTGAAGCGACTCCTCCTCGTCCATGGACACTATCACAGTGTCCGCTTGTCGCTGCTGGTGCTGTACTTTTTCTACAAGAACATTGTGTTTATGGGTATTATGTTTCTGTTCCAATTCCATACGCTCTTCTCCTCGTCCTCCGTCTACGACTCCCTCTTCCTGACACTGTACAATGTGATTTACACATCGCTGCCCATCCTGTTCATTGCCATCACCGAGAAGCCCTACACCGAAGAGAAGCTAATGAGGTGAGACAACCAAAGCACAAGCAGCCAGGGCAAACATCATTCATCTTGTACCCCCCTTGTTATGCAGCACCCCGCAGTTGTACAAGAAGAACACGGACAACAAGCAGCTGCACTGGCCCTACTTCCTGATGTGGGTGCTCTTCGCCATGTACCATGCAGTGATCATCTTTTACTTTGCCTTCTGCATGTTCTCCTTCAACAACGTGATCCTGAGTGTTGGCCAGACGGCGGCCTTCTCCTGCTTTGGCACGCTGCTCATTTGGGGCGTGGTGATTGTCGTGAACCTCAAGCTCTGGCTGGAGTCGATGTACCTCTCGTATTGGTACATCTTTACGCTGGTTATCTCCATTCTAGGCTTTATGGTCACAACGGTTATCTATAATGTTATCAATCTGTAAGTGCATCTTCTGCCTGCCACACAAAGCCAGTCGCCTGCTTACTCTCTGCTCTTTTTTAGGGACTACGACACCGACATATACTGGGCGTACAACAATCTGTTGGCCTCCCTGCCAGTCTGGCTGTGGGTCCTGCTCGTTTCTGTGGCCTGCCTGGTGCCGGACTTCACCATCCGCATGCTTCAGCGCGGTCTCAACATCAAGCACTTCAGCATCTTTCCCGGCAAGCAGCGAAAGCTCAAAATGCGCGAGAAGTTCGAGTCCACCTACCTGTAATCTACCATCCTAGGCCATAGTTTTTTTTTCTACTCTTTATTTATTTATTTGCCCCCTTACGTGTACATAACTTCTTCTTTGTTTTTTTTTGCTAAGAAAACAACAACAAAAAAACACTATTGTTTTGTTGACAAATCGAAATGCTGTCTTTATCTGGCACTACGGCAGCACCGACCCTGATGGTATTCTGCTGTGCCGTGCGTATCTCTGCCAGGGCACCGCAACCAGTTCGGGGGGCGTACTGGAAGCTAATTAGCTCTCTGCTCTTAATGTAATTGCGTATCGGAATGCCGGGGCAGAGACGGTGGCGGAGGCGGAGGCGGAGATTGCGCTACAGTTTCGGGAGGCATTGCCGTTCTGTTATCCATGGACACAGAAAAGCCCTTGGATTGAGTTTGGTTCGTTTCCATAGAAGGGTACACCTTTGTGCGCAGAATTGGCAGAATTTCCTTCTCAATCATGCTGCTGAAGTGAGAATTTGTTGGCACTAACAATCTCGTTTCTCTCAGCTACTCACAAATGTATCACTTGTATTTGTTGACTTCCTTTTTGCAGCCATTATCTGTAATTGTTGTCACTTGCTGTCGAAGACTCCACAGTCCCCTGTCGCTGTCCGAGCGAAGCGCTGCCTTGCGTAGGGGCGCACCTGTCGGGTCGGCGTGGCCCCACTCCAGCGAGGAGTGTTCCGTTATGTTATCTTTTGGGTTGGCATTTCGCTGAGGCAATACCGAAACCCCTGATTGTGAAGCCATTTTCATTGATAATGATATCTCTCGCAGACTGGTACACACACACACACAGACGTTACAGGTGCGACAATGAAGATACTGAGAAATTCATGCCATATACACAATGGGGGGGCATAGCTGGCTCATTCGCCACAACATGTTGGCCGCTGGAGTACGTTGCTAAAGAGTGAGAGCGAGATCACCGATTGGTTGGTTAGCAGCGTTTTATGGAGAGCAGGCGGAGAGTTCGCTGGGTTAGTCCATGCAATGGTCAATAAATATATATATATAATTCGATTGTATTCCCAAATCAAATGTTCTCATGTGGTGCTATCAGTAGTGTTTCACGGCCTATACACACACTTGCATATATCTGTGTGTCTGTGTGTCTGTGTGTGTGTGTCATAGTCATACTTTGGGGCAAAAGAAATTCATAATCACATATTTTTTTGAACACGGAATTTAGTTTAGTTTAGGGCGGTTTCTCGTCGCACAGCGCATTAATTTATTCTTTAACATATTCGGATTTCATATTATGTCGCTGAACAAGGCATTGGCGAGGGAAGAAGACCATCTAGCGGGCAACCAGACACAGAATCAGAGCCAGAGCCAGAGCCAGAACCAACCCAAATCCACAACAATTGTCAAGTATGAGAAATCCTCGTGCCTGTTCTGCAATGAATGGTTCGATGCACAGACATTTACGGTGAGTACTTAGCATTAGCCTTGATCTCCGATCTATGGCTGACCATCCCTCGGTTTCTGTCTGTCACAGGAACATCTAATACACTGCGGTCAGGTGTTGGAGGAGTGCCCGAATAGCTGTCAGGTGTTCATACCGCGCATTCGCATGCGCTCACATTTGAAGGAGTGCCCGCGGTCCAAGAATCTGCACAACCAGCGCCTGAGCGTCAGCATGGATAGGCTGGACCAGCAGTCCGATCATCGGCTGCAGGTGCTCGAGCAGGACATCAGCACCATACGCTCGGTGCTCAATGAGGAGATACGCCAGCGCTTGCATCTGATCACCGATGTGGGCAACATACGCAAGCAGAACCAAGTGGTCGAGGACTGGACCCGTGGCACCGACGACACCCTGGGCGGTCTGCGTCGGCAGCTGGAGGAGGAGGCCTCCCAGCGGGCCTATGCCGCAGAGCAAAATCAAATTGACTTTCAATACTGCTGCAACATCACTCAGGTGGGTCGCCCTTTCTCTCTCTCTCTCTCTCGCCCATCGATCCACCATTGTCGATAGATTTTGATGTGCTAAGTGTTCTCTCTCATCGGTGGTGTAGTCTTTGAAGGACCAAGTCGAGATCAAATTGGATGAGGCGCAGAAGCTGGTGAATCAGCTGTCCATCGATGTGACCTTCCACCAGAACCAGCTGAACGACAACATCCTCAAGCTCGAAGAGCTGATCTTCGAAAACGAAAGACTGAATCGGTGAGTGCTGGCGAACCATTCACGAGAGTCTCTCAACATCAAGCTTAAGGTATCTCTATCTGCCTTAGGGACAAGTTCTTTCGCATTGAGGAGTTCCTGCAGCAAATCAATGAGGATATCAAAACCAAGCTGGGCACCAGCGACTATGCCACCAATAAGCAGGCCACCCTGGACTACGAGGTGAAGAATGTCAAGAACATTGTCTGCGAAACGGAGGAGCGTTGCGATAAGCTGCAGACTGTGGTGCAGGATCTGGATCGATCCCTGCATCAGACCATGCAGAATCTGTCCGATCTGGAGAACCAAATGGCCATGCAACAGCGCATCGCCAGCGTACAGAATATAAGAGGTAACTACAGCGCAACCAGCGGCACAAATATGTATACCGAATGTTTGCTTGCTTGCAGGTCATCTGATCTTTCGCATTAAGGACTACTCCAAGAAGCTGGACGAGGCCAAGCAGTATGATACCATACTGCACTCCGCCATGTTCTCCAATAAGGCATTTGGCTATGCCCTAAGAGTGAGTCTCATTTTTGGATACGTGAGATGTGAGATTTATTTTGCCTTTTGCACTCACAGCTGGATATCTATCTGAATGGCAAGGGCACATGGAAGGGTCGTAATCTGATTGCATGTCTCAATGTTCTATCCGGAGAATACGATCCATTGCTGGCGTGGCCCTGCCGCCTGCAGGCCGAGGTCGTCATCCGGGATCAATGCTCGAATCTGCTGGAGGCCCAGGACTATGTAAAGACAATTTTCGTGCGCAAGAAGAGCGACGACTTCATCCAGAGCAATCAGTACTTTCACATACCCCACAAGGTCATCACCAGTCGCAATTATTTGCGCAACGATTCCATGTTTATCGAGGTTCGCATCATGAAATAAAAAGTATTCGGCTTGCCAAGCGATACTGAAAGAGATTTCGATTTTGATCACTCGACACCCAACTTCATGGAGAGAGAACAACATCTGTAATAATTTATTAATTTGAGAGCCTTTGTTTGTTGTTGTAAACCATTTTCAAATACAATAAATGTACGTATGGTGGGTGTGTATTTATACAGTTTTAACGATTCAAAATGCACTTCTTTAATCTAGAATCTAGAATCTAGAATATTTCGGTGTATGTTTTCGAAAGGGTTTTAAATGCTTCAGGCATAGGCAATTGAGTTACACTTTTGAGGCACAGTTCGATAAAGTAAATCTAATCTATGTACTTCCACTGGGTAGTTTCTTGTTTGTTGATTGTACAATTTAAGGAGCAATATGTGGCTCTTGAATGTATGCATTTATGTATGCAGTGTGTTGTGAGTGGATTGGAGAACCAATAAAATATTTGTCTTCTTAAGAAAGTGTTTATAACAAATTGACAATTCAGGTAATATCTGTGAGCACTTAGAGTCTACAAAACATTGGTCTTCATCATTGTCCATCTCCCTGGGCGTGTGTGTTCGTTACGTATGAATGTGTTTATGCAAGTTATTGTAAAATACATAGGAAAAAGAGATTACATATTCGAATAAGATTGAATCCTTTTTTAATTAATTATTAATAGGAATAAGCTTAAGATGAGCGCTGCTCCCCAACCAGGGCATAAAGGGCATGCTTATAATGGCCAGAAGTGTCGCCCTGTAACATAAAAACAAAAAACAAAAAACATTTTGGGTTCCATTTAACACACAAATGACTTAATAGTCGCTTACCTTGATCCAGCTCTTCAGAGACTTGCCATACAAGCGCTCAAATGCCACTTTAATGTCTGCCATATCGATCTGAAATAAAAGGACTTCCTTTAGACAAGTTCTAAAATATGAAACACACCCATTTGCTGTCTACCTCGCAGCGCGTAATGATGACACGAATCAGCTGGGTATCGTTGGTCCCGATGCCAGCCATTGCCTTGTGCAAACGTGAGGCAAAGTACTCGGCCTTGTTGGTCACACAGCGATAGATGGCGATGAGTCCTTCCATAATGTCACCAGAGAACTCCTTCTTGATGGCCTTCTCCAGCGAGTGGCCGGTCATGCCCTCATACTCTTGGAATATCTACAAAGAATAAAACGCTATTCAATGACTATTCGGAACTATTCGAATTGCCCGGCCAGGCCTTACCATTTTCAATTGTCCGTAGTTCCTTTGGCACAGTATCATGTTGAACATGCTCTCGTCGGTGCCCACGCGCAGTTCGCCGGCTTTAAGCAGCTCCCTGGCATCATCCTTGGCCTGATTGGGATCAATGCGACCGCTCTCATCGCGTGCCGCCGTGCAGAGGGACGTAAGCAGACGCTTGAAGTTGCCCGATGTCTCCGACTTCAGTTCGGACTCCAGATGTGCGCCGTACACTGGAATGCCAAGGGAGATGTGTTTTTATATTCTATCAGTTGATTGCATGCTGCTAACTTACAGCGTAAGTACTGGTTTTTGATGGTGTATATCTCCATGTTGGATAGCGTGCAGAGGATCTCGATGAGCACCTCTTCGTCCGTGCCGATGCCAGCCATGGCATCGTTTAGCTCTGCACAGTAATAGTCGACAATTGGCCGGAGCAGGCCCACGAGAAGCTTCTCAAAGTTTCCGCTCGTCTCCGACTTGATGTCCTCGATCAGATCCTTTCCAAAATGGGTCTTATACTGGCGCTCGATCTCCTGGCGCTGTTCGTTTGTGCGCCGGCAAATGATATTGATGAGCACATTCTCATCCGTGCCAAAGCCCTTCATGGCCTTGCGCAAGTCGTGGGCATCCTTCACAGGATCAAAGCCTTGTGCAGGGAATAAAGTTGGGGTTCCCTGCAAGAGCGTTTAGAAAGGATAATCATCAAATAAACTCTTAAGCTTTATGCTCCTATGAATGAATGTGAATGGAAATGCAAGTAGAACGAGAAGAAAGGGAATGCAGTTTTTGGATGGTGCTTTGGTGGTGGATCAGCTTGATTGATGACAAACCTCTTTGTGAGCTGTGGGTGACCGATGCGCGTGCACCTGACCATGCCCATGCCCATTCGCATGCTCATGCCCATGCCCATGCCCATGCCCATGCCCCTGCCATTGACCCTGCCATTGGCCATGACCATGACCATGCCCAGCATCGTATCCGGCTGTCATGGCTGGAGTGAATCCACTGCCAGTGGGATAGGGGGAATTGGTGGCTGGTTGAGCACCTGGATACGGAGCAGCAGCAGCAGCAGCAGCCCCCCCATGCGGGTGATGAATGTTATGGGATTGGGAAGGATGCGATTGTGTCATTGGATAGGGGTTTTGGGGTGGATACGGTGAGGCTGTCGATGCTGACGGATAGGGTGCTGACATCGATGGATAGGGTGGATAGCCACCAGGCTGACTGGGTGGATAACCCTGCTGCGGCGGTGGCTGTGCATGGGGATGGTGCTGGTGCTGGTGCTGGTGCTGGTGCTGGTGGTGGTGGTGGCTTGGCTGTGGTGGGTATGGCGAGGAGGAGTATGGTGAATTCTGCTGCATCGGTGGCACCCAACCAGCTCCAAAGGGTGGCGCATTTGTTGGTGGCTCATTAGTGGTAGTAGTAGGATGCGATGAATAA